GGGGGGAGCGCGCAGCCATCCGAAATGGATGTGGATAAGGAGGGGAATAAGGGTGACGAGAAGAAGGACAAAGCGGCCAATGAGGCTGCTGTAGCGTCAAAGAGCGCAAAGCCGCATCCGGCGAAAGCGTCGCGTCCCGAGGCCCTAGGCGGCTCGTTGGACGTGACACTAATCAGCGACGTACGGGAGCGTGATCGGGATATTTCCGATGATGAGTTTTCCCCTACGAACGTGTGCATGTTTCCAGAATCATGGGAGGGCGCAATGCCGACCTCCGTGATTGAAAAGGCCGGAGGCTTTGAGCAGTTTAGGAACGAGCTCATGAGGATCCAGAGAGTCCTGGATTCTCCGGCGTTGGTCGACCTTGGTAAGGTCGATCTGGACGCTCTGGGCGAGCCGCCCAAGGAGTACGTCTCGGATGAAGATCACGAGAGTTATGTAGACGATGATGGAATGGGTCCATATGTGGACAAATTCTCATCAATGGGTGACCGCGACCTAGTGCCCTCAAAGCAGGAGCCGCCTTACTATGAGGCAAAGGCGTGGCGCACCACTGAAGAAGAAATTGAAAGGATGAAGAACCTTTTTCCATTCTTTCGTGCCGAAAATTATCGGCTTATGTCTGCGAGTACTGGTCCCATAGGTACCAAGTCGCACGTACAGGGCGTCCTCCCGACAGGTGCGTCGTTGGAAGAGGCACTGATGGCTAAGCCCGATGTGTGCCCGATTACGAGCACCTACAACCTCACATACGAGGGTGAAGAGGTTGTGATTGATGCACAGGGCGGGATAGCAGGCAGAATCGCCTGTCCTGCCGGAAAAGACATCTTCCATTTTTTCCCCGAAATTAGGGATGTGTCGGCGTTTGTTGGACGAAGCTCCAGGGAATCGCAAATGCTGCTAGAAGTTTTGTCGGGCAACACTGACCCTACGCGGTTAAACGTGAAGCCCGGTGAACAGCCTCCCTTCTTGTTTGGGACGGTCCCAGACATTCTGGGAGGTTGGATGTCAATGACTCTGATCTCGACGCTACTTGAGGCCCTATACGGGATCCACAAGTGCACGAGTGTCGAGGTAGCGACCTGGGCGGGTGCTCTCGCAATGGAAAGCCCATCGTACCCTCCAGTCGAGCTCCTAATACGGACAGTCTGGCACAAGTGTGCGCCCGAATGAGGTGCTTTTTGCGCGGTCCACCCTAATCGGGAGGGAAGTGCCGTTCAAAGTTTTCAAGCGTTGGGCACTGCGTGACCGAACGCCTATGGGGCCTTTGCTTAGGCCGATGGGAGCAGCAGAAGTCCCTTATACGGGATACGTGCTGCTGACGATGGCCGAGTATCGGTCCGCCCTCAAAACGAGGTGCATCCGGAGGCCTGGCAAATTCGCCATCACAGTTTTCCCCATGCGACCTGAGCAGGTCTGCAGGGGGGAGATCATGATTGGGATGGAGGGCGCAAAGGTGCCTTTCCTCAAGTTGCCCAGCCCCAATAATGAGGGCGAATTTTATGTTGACGACCGCGTCAAGTACATGGACAAGCGCCATGTCGTTGTGGCCGTTGACCTAAAGTGGATGGCCATCGAGGAAGCCGCCGGCATCTACAAAACCCGACGCGGTTTGATCGCCGTGCGGGAAGAGATACATGCGCCATTCTGGCGCGCATGCTATCTGCATCAGGAAGGGGATGTAATATACATCCGCCCCTGGGCGGTCCGTGAGTTGAATGTTCAGGGACCGCGGAGAGGGGTGTCATTTTCATGGGACAATGCTCCCATGCATGACTACTGGTGCCCTCGGTGCGCGCATTTGAACATGTATGGCACCATTCTATGCAATGGTTGCCATCTGCCGATTTTCTATCGTGAATGGGTGCCAGGCACCGTCCGCGCTCTGGTTAAGCATGGACAGCCAATCTGGCTGAGCGAACTCAAAGCAGTCCGCCCCAGCAGCTGGCATGAAGGGGAGACCGACGCGTGGGCCCCTCTCATGGCATCGGTAAACCCGATTCGCGAGGTGGTCAGCTGCATGACCACCGGTTTGCGATGCGCGCCGCATCTTGTGCACACTCCCAATGCGGATATTGTGCAAGTTGCGTTTCAGGAGGTTGCAAAGGTCACCTCAAAGGACACTCACGCTTGTGTGCGGGCGAGTGATGAGGCTCTCGAGCGGTGGGTAGCGAAGCAGCTGCTCATCGAGGAGAGCAGCACTGGCGTCTCGATTCCCGACAATATGTCTGTCATGGCATATTTAATCGAGCACCCGCAACAGGCGGCGCAATGGGGTCGTCATATGACGAGAAAGGGCAGTCTAAATTCAGCATTTGCCCTTTACCTCTCTGTGCATATCTTCGATGCCTACCGCATCGGGATTGAGGACGGATATTTGGTTCCGCTGTATGGCCTAGGCGCCTCACGCGCGGACATCATAATGTCATTGGTACAGGCTGAGCGACGCCTCGCGGACTTCAATAGTGAAGATCCGAGTTTTGATGCTTCCACTGTTCTTGATTGGAGCATCGAATCTCTGCGGGCCAGTGGTGGATCCATCACGGCTCCAATTGAGTATGCTGAGGCATACATTTATGTCGAAGACAACAAGGTTGACATGGTCCCCGCTGCACGGCGCGACGGCCAATGCGCCATTGTTTTTGCTGAACCGCCGGCTGGGAAGCACCACAGGCGGACAGCCACGCCTAGGGGAGACCAACGGTCTGCTACCCCGCGACCTGAATCCAGGTCAAAGGGAGATCAGCAAAAGGGCAAAGCCCCTGCGCAATCCTGGCCCAAGGGCGGGGGTCACAAGGGTGACCAATTTCCCGGAAAGGGTCACAAAGGTGATCAGTACAAAGGCAAGGGTGGCCAATACGGCTACCAACAAGGGCAGTTCGGTCGTGGCGGATCCGCCAGATCAAGAACTCCCACTGGCGGGTATCAGCCTGATGCTCGCGGATCGGGGTACAAGGGTGCTCAGGCAGCTCCTTTCCCTTTCCCGAGTCCGATGTACCCCGCTTTCCCAATGGGAGGGTACATACAACAGCCCATGGCTGGTATGATGCCACAAATGTGGCCAGGCGCAATGCCGCAGAGTTGGCAGCCGCATATGCAGGGCGATCCCCGCGAGTTCGAAAATCCGAACTCGCCGCACACCCCTACCTGGGGTGACGATGACGAGCTAGCCGAGACAGTGCCTCCTCCCCCTGGGGACTGGAATGCCAGCAAGGGGAAGGGACGGCACGGCCGTGGGCGACATCGGTGATACCTGGAGTCTGCCCATGCGTTTTTTAGTTTAATTTGCACGACTGCGCCAATGCGCGCATGCCTTTATTCCGGAGATTTTTCCGGAAGGGCTATGCTCCTTGCCATATTTCAATGATTTGGCTATTCGCCACTCCAGAATTTAATTGCACGCGTGGCTGTGCGCTATTCGCGCAAGCTGCGATGTCCTGTCAGGTGTGCGTCGTCACAGCAAGGCAGTTACCCTCGCCGGCGTCTACGGCTGCTGGTGGTCAGCTTCATCCAGCACCGCTGCTGCTGCTGGCGATGGAACCCATCAAGATGCTGTGGTGAGGATCTCGGATGCGCTGCACCGCCGCCGGTGAGGTCCTACTCGGACCTGAACCGCTGATTGCAGCTGGTGGTACTCCTGCCGAAGGTCGTTGTGTGATCGCGCGCCTAGACGGTGCTACTTTAAAGACCAAGGTCTTGTGGTCGAAGCACCATGTATCAACCAGTGGGCCAAAGCGCCTAAATCATGAATTCAGAAACTAAATCCACTTGAACCTTACGGTTCATTGTGGTTGCATTGCAAATGTATTTATATTTCATGCCTGCCATTCTGAAGTTGAATCTTTGGTCCTGTTTCCTTTTGCTTCCTCTTGTTTGATTTGGCTACCGGCGCGAATCCGCCCCATACCCGTAATTCGGGGTGGTGGCGGGATCCGGGCACCAATGAGTGCCCGGGTATGGGGACGCGAACCCTGGTAGCCTAATCGGCTTTGTTTTTCTTGTTTATTGCCTTTCAACTTCAACATGGCCAATGCGCCCTTCCAAATTCACTCCATCTCTTTGTACAGGCGAGGGGGGTGTTTTTGGGGGCATGTAGTTTTATCGTAACATGTTTCCACGCCACGGCCAATGCGCCGTTTGGCTCAAGCTTTTCACTCGTCGACTTTGCCTGCCATCTCGTCGGAAAGAGCCCGCGGCGCTCCTCACGCCGGCCGCACTACGTCGCGGCCGTCGTTGCTGGGGCGGTGGTCTTGGACCCGGAGGTGGGCCGGGTTTTGGTTGGAGTGCGCTGCTACTGCTCGCTCTGCTCGCTTGGTGCTGCTTGCCGCTGGTTTGCTTGCTTGCTCTGCGCTGTGCTGCGCTTCTGCTTGGTTTATTCTTGTTACAAACGAGGCACCCCTTTTGGTTCGTGTTAGTGCCGGCCGGGGGCAACTGCTTTGCCCTTGGGACCGGGGGGATAAGGTGGTCTCTTCTTGTTGGTGGGTTAGGGCCTGTTTTATCCATCCCGAAACTCTGTTTCAAACCCTTTCGCACCGTTGATGGCACCCAGGTGAGGTCAGGGGCTCCTCCAGCCGAGAAAGAGAATCTCACTGGGAGTACTCTGCGGCACTGAGCCTTTCGAACAACTTGGCCCAACCATGTAATTTTTCATTGCGTAACGACATGTCCTGGGGCTTAAGTAGGGTTCTCCGTGTTTCTTCGGGTGGTGTTTTGCACACCGCCCTTCGGCTGCCAACCTCCAGTTTGGGCTGACGTTTTCAGGCTGAGCTTATAGGGACCGCTGGTTGAATGGATGCCGTGCCCCCAGAAGCGGAGTCAGGGTGCGGCCACCGCGTCAACTCAAAGGCTCGCTCAGCGCTTCCTTCATTTTTCCCGATGCCAGTAGGCCTACGTTTGAAGGGGCCTTGGGCCGGCAAAACGGGTGCCCACCGAGCGATTCGCTGGTCGCCGTTTTCGTCTTCGCCTCTTTTTTCTTGAGCCAACCCCTGGGCGGGTTTGAGGAGTGGACGGCCGCCACGGTGCATGTGCCCTCCAGTCAGCTGGGCTTTGAGCCCACCTTCTTCTACGCGGCTCGGACGAGGGGTCGATTTGAATCGACGGACTGGACGGGGGCCGCAACAAGAGGTTTGCGCAGCTGGCAGGACACGTGGGCCATACCCGTCCTCAGCCGGCGCTTCTTGAAAGACTTGCCGTGGTCGCAAACTTCCAGCTGTCCCCCTTCCCCCCCAAATCCCAACAGGCTGACCCCCCTACCACGGGAACACCAGTTTGGCCCCCCCCCCCCCCCATCCGTGAGTTGATTTCGCCCAGCCACCACGTTTATGGTTGAGCAAATGGGCTTGCCTCCTGTTTGTTTCCTGTTGTTTGATTGTTCGTTTGCTTGCTTGCTTGCTTGCCTGCTTGCCTGCTTGCTTGCTTGCTTGCTTGCCTGCCTGCATGATTGCTTGTTAATGTTAGATAGCGATTAATAAAAGGGGAGTGAATACAGAAAAAACATCTCAAAATTACTCACTCTCCTGAAAAGGTATTACAGAAACAAATCTGCCCGAAATCCCGAAAATATGTTTCCTTCCAAGAATGGACTATTTTTGAGGGTTGAAACGTTTGAGTCCAGCCAGAAATGTCCAAAAATACTAAGCCAATTCTAAACAATACTTACTGGAAAACTACTCAGGCAGGTCCCAGTCTGACCCCCATTTTGTTTTTGGGGGTTCTCGCTATAGACCCCCCCCCAATTCGTTTGAGGGGGGGGCCCTTTATCAATCACTCCCCAACATTAATGTGTGTCTGTCTCCATGTATGTATGCAAGAATGTAATGTTATGTGATGTGATGTAATGTAATGTAATGTAAGGTAATATGACGTAACGTAATGTAACGTAATGCAATGCAGTGTAATGTAACGCAAGTGCTGTGATGTGATGTGCTGTGATGTGATGTGATGTGATGTAAGTTCTGTATGTATGTATGTAATGTAATGTAGTGTAGCGTATTGTATTGTATTGTAATGTACTGTATGCATGCATGTTTTATTATGTTATGTTGTGTTATGTTGTGTTATGTTACGCAATGGAATGTCATGTAAGTTTTTATGTATGTATTTATGTATGCATGTATGTGTGTGTGTGTATGTGTATGTAATGTAATGTAACGCAATGCAATGCAATGTAATGCAATGCGATGGAATGTAATGCAAATGAATGCAATGTAATGTTATCTATTGTATCGTAATGTATGTAGTGTATGTAACGTATGTAATGTATGTAATGTATGTAATGTGTGTAATGTATGTAATGTATGTACTGTATGTAATGTGTGGTATGGTATTGTATGGTATGGTATGGTATGGTATGGTATGATATTGTATGGTATGGCATTGTATGTAGTGTAACGTCACGTCACGTCAAGTCACGTCACGTCATGTAGCGCAACGTGGCGTAGTGTCATGTAATGTGATGTAAAGTTACGTGATGCTATGTTTGTTTGTTTGTTTGTTTGTTTGTTTGTTTGTTTGTTTGTGTGTTTGTTTGTTTGTTTGTTTGTTTGTTTGTTTGTTTGAGTGTGATTGTTTGTGTCTGTGTGTGTCTGTGTGTGTGTGTGCGTGTGTTTTCTTCGTGTATGTGTGTGTGTGCGCGTGTTTGTGTTGTCTTTGGTGTGGTTGTTTCTTCATTTTTTAAGATATATAGTTTCCTTTCTGTGTTTGACTCTTTCTTTCTTTCTTTCTTTTTTTCTTTCTTTCCTTCTGTCTGTCTGTCTGTCTTTCTTTCTTTTTTGTTTCTCTCTTCTTTTAGTGTCTTTCTTGTTTTTCCCGGAAGCATTGCGAAGGGTTCTTCTTCTAAAAGCGGCTGCCAACTTCACCTGCCAACTTCTCATGCCAACTTGTCGAGAGTTACTTCACCTGCCTACTTCTCATGTCAACTTTTTGAGAGTTACTTCACCTGCCAACTTCTCATGTCAACTTTTCGGCTGTTATCTCATTCTACTAAAAGCACAAGCTAATTTGTCGGGTGTTACTTCACTATCCTAAAAACACAAGCTAACTTTTCTGTTCTACCTTCACATCTCGACTCTTAATTCTTCTTCTTTTTATGGCGGGGGTAGGCCCGACGGGAGCTTACGAAACGCACCCCTCTGCGGAGATCGTGCGTGTCGAAGCGCTCTCGCTGTGGCGCCGTGCGAATTTGTCTTGACCTTGGCGAACCCTCTGCGGAGATCGTGCGTGTCGAAGCGCTCTCGCTGTGGCGCCGTGCGAATTTGTCTTGACCTTGGCGAACCCTCTGCGGAGATCGTGCGTGTCGAAGCGCTCTCGCTGTGGCGCCGTGCGAATTTGTCTTGACCTTGGCGAACCCTCTGCGGAGATCCTGCGTGTCGAAGCGCTCTCGCTGTGGCGCCGTGCGAATTTGTCTTGACCTTGGCGAACCCTCTGCGGAGATCGTGCGTGTCGAAGCGCTCTCGCTGTGGCGCCGTGCGAATTTGTCTTGAGCGCGGCGAACCCTCTGCGGAGATCGTGCGTGTCGAAGCGCTCTCGCTGTGGCGCCGTGCGAATTTGTCTTGACCTTGGCGAACCCTCTGCGGAGATCGTGCGTGTCGAAGCGCTCTCGCTGTGGCGCCGTGCGAATTTGTCTTGAGCTCTGCGGGGATCCCTTTGCTGTGGGATCGTGCGTGTCGGATCGCTCTCGCTGTGGCGCCGTGCGCATCTGTCTTGAGCCCGATGAACCCTCTGCGGAGATCGTGCGTGTGCGAAGCGCTCTCGCTGTGGCGCCGTGCGGTTTTCTTGCTCGCGAAACGGCTTTTGGAAGTTGCCTCGTGGTGTGCGCGCCTGCTTTCGCAATCCCGCGGTCCCGGGTTCGATTCCCCCCTGGTCCGCGGCAGCTCCGGCTTGAAAATCGCAGCTTTTAAGTACAAACGTAGTACGCGGAGCGTGCTCCTGCAGCTCCGGCTGGAAAATCGCAACTTTTAAGTACAGACGTAGTACGCGGAGGCTGCTGCAGCTCCGGCTGGAAAATCGCACTTTTTAAGTACAGACGTAGTACGCGGAGCGTGCTCCCGCAGCTCCGGCTGGAAAATCGCAACTTTTAGATACAAATGGCTGGAAAATCGCAACTGTAAATTGCAAATGTAGCACGCGGAGCGCCTCCGCCGCTCCAGCTTTTTGAGGGTTAATTACTTCACCTGCCAGTTTCTCATGCCGAAACTTCGAGAATTACTTCACCTGCCAGCTTCTCATGCCACCTTTTCGAGAGTTACTTCACCTGCCAACTTCTCGTGCCAACTTTTCGAGGAGTTACTTCACCTGCGAGCTTATCATGCCAACTTTTCGAGAGTTACTACACCTGCGAGCTTCTCATGCCAACTTTTCGAGAATTACTTTACCTGCCAACTTCTCATGCCAACTTTTCGAGAAATACTTTACCTGCCAACCTCTCGTGGCAACTTCACCTGCCAACTTTTCGAGAATTACTTCACCTGCCAACTTCTCATGCCAACTTTTCGAGAAATACTTTATCTGCCAACCTCTCGTGGCAACTTTTCGAAAAATTACTTCACCTGCCAGCTTCTCATGCCAACTTTTCGAGAGGTACTTCACCTGCCAACATCGCCTGCCAACTTTTCGAGAGTTACTTCGCCTGCCAACTTCTCGCGCCAACTTTTCGAGAATTACTTCGCCTGCCAACTTCTCATGCTAACTTTTCGAAAGTTACTTCACCTGCCGGCTTCTCACGCCAACTTTTCGAGAGTTACTTCACGCGCCATCTTCTCGTGCCAACTTTTCGAGAATTACTTCACCTGCCAGCTTCTCACGCCAACTTTTCGAGAGTTACTTCACCTGCCAACTTCTCATGCCAACTCTTTGAGAGTTATTTCACCTGCCAACTTCTCATGCCAACTTTTCTCTTGAGTTACTTCGCCTGCCAACTTCTCATGTCAACTTTGCGAGAATTACTTCACCCGCCAACTTTGCCAGCCAACTATTCGAGAGTTACTTAACCTGCCAGCTTCTCATGCCAACTTTTTGAGAATTGCTTCGCCTGCCAACTCCTCATGCTAACTTGGCGAGAGTTACCTCACCTGCATCAACTTGCCTCTATGCTTCCGGGCCACTCGTCGTCTAGTTTTTCTTCTTTTTTTCGTTCGTTCGATCGTTTGTGCTTCTTTTATCTTTGTTTCGTTTGTTTGTTTGTTTGTTGGTTGGTTGGTTAGGTTGGGAAAGGTCAGGCTAGGTTTGCTTTGTTGCTTTTTTAACAGCCTTCAGGCGCAATGCATGGTCCGTGGCCAGTTGTCTTCTTGGTCTCGGCGGGGCCAGGCTTCAAAGATCTGGGTTCAAGCCCCGTTGCCTGTAAGCCAATGCTTTTTAGGTGAGCTTGGCTAGACAAAGATTGCGCTGGTTGAGATTGGTTCGTCCCATTCGGGCCATCTTTTTCCCAAAAGGCGGCATGGCTCGTGGCTTACCTTAGCTTCTGCCAGAGGTTTTTGCGGTTCTCAGGTCGCGCAGATCGTCTTCTTCCTGCTCTTCTTCGTCGATCTGGTGATGCGCTGGTGTGCGGACGGCCTCATCTATTTTGTTTGCAACGAAGAGGCCCGGCTGCAGAAGGCCGTGGCCTAGGGCCTTCCTGAGTTCCTTTCAGTTTCCCAAGAGGGGTGCCGCACAGAAGTTCCATCTAGGGTCCAGCAATGAAGAGTTGGTGTGAAACGGACCCATCGTGACGAGGTTCCTTGAAAAATAGGGGCGAAGCGTGGTTGTCCTTCTGATTTCCATTGATGCACGCCCCCCCCCCCAAAAAAAGAAAAACAAGAAACATAAAATGTGTCCCCCCCCCAAAAAAAAAGATGATAAAGTCCCCCCAACCATTTTCGGTGGTCTCAGAGACAGCTGAGTGGGGCTCGAGGGAAGTCAAAGGAAAGCCACCCATTTCGGGATCCGATCCGGAAGCTGAGGTCTCCCCAGGGTTCAGAGCCCCAAGCTGACCCACCCCGAAGGAGCCGAGGGCCTTATCGACCCGGCTTCCCAGAAGCAAACACAAATACCTCTCCTAACCATATGCCAGGCATGTGCGCACTGCTGAGCGGGTGCGCTTGAGCGGGCGCTCGGCCCAAGTTTGTTCGATGGCTTCTACCGCCGTGTTGGGGCGGTGCCGAGGAGATGCATTGGAATGTGCTGGACGTGGCGGTGGTGGGCTTTAACTTCATGGAGGTCATCACTGAGACCATGCCGCCGTGGCTGGCAAAGGGGCGGGCGGCGGGCGCGTTCGCGTTCTGGCATGTGCCAAACGAAGGGGTTGGGCTTTTGAAAGGGGCTCGATGTTTTCCTTGTGGTTTCCCTGAAAGGGGGGGTTGGGATTGTTGCTGGTTTTTGGGGTCTGGGGTGGTTTGGAGCAACTTTCCGGGGATCCGGAAGGTTGCAGAGGGTTCCGGGCCGATTTGTTGAGCGTACCTTTTCCAAGTTGGTTTTCAGGGACGCCAAAGGCAAACCATGTTCGAGGCCCGGGGCCTCCCTTTTTGACTCTGGTGGCTCAAACTGGGCCGTGCCCTCTTCTCGGGCGCGACGGGCCCTAGCCGTAGACTGAACAACAAAAACAGGAGCAACGCAGTTAACTTGAATTGGTGACCCTCAACAAATGGACTTTAGGATGCTCAGCTTCAGGCTCACGTCAATTTGGCAGTATGACTCGGAAAGCCGATATGCTCTGGCTGGGGAACTCCCTGGGTCGGTCACGGTCTACGTAGAATCCGGAGTGCTTATACTACCAGGGCAGTGGTTGCCCTCGTCCCGCTGCGGAAGGCCCCCCTCCCCTGCCCCATTTTGAACCCATCAGATACACTTCTGCTCGATCCGGGGAGCTCTTGGAGCGCCGGGCCGGGGGCGCCGCCTTGTTCTTTGGTCCTGTTTTTTTTTGCAAACTCCATCAGGTCAGCCTGCTTGTTTTGGTGGTTCGAAAAAAGGTCGTCCGGTCAAGGATCTTCATGGGCGCAGACAGCACCATGCTGATGAACAACTTCAGCGCCGCTTGGTTCCGCAGGCTTCCGGGTTTTGTTCGGCCACGATTCTTTTTGGAAATGGCAACTTGTCCACTCCATATTTTGGTTGGAAGGGGCTTGTTTTTTTTTTTTGCTCCTTTTCCATGTCCTTTGCGAGAACTGCATATTTTGACCATGGCTCGCGTGGCCTGTGATTCATGGGGTCGCTGGGTTGCTTGCCACCAAGCAAGCGCTTGCCGCGCATGGCTTTAGGTTGTGCGAGTGGTGCGGGTGCTGCGCGTGGTCCGCATTGCCAAAGCTGCTTGGACCACATGATCGAAGTTTCCGCGTTGCCGAAGCCTCTCGTGGCTTGCGGGAAGAGATGCGAAGGTCAGTGCTCGTATTCGGTGTTCAGAAAACCTTGGCATGACTTCGAACTTCAAGATCTTGAAGAGTTGCATTCCTTTTCAGAAGTCGAAGGGGCGGGCTGCAAGACTCCTTTGTGCCGTATCGGGGCCTGGGGCCAAGAGACTTCAAGAGACCCGGCGCTCCAATGGACGCTTCCCTGCGGCTTCCCTGAGGTGATCCGTGTCCTCAAGGCGCGGACCGCCGACGAACACGGCGGGCGCGAGTTGGGAGTTGATCCGCCCGGCTTCGGGCTTCGGGCGCGGAATCGTGGAATGGATGGGTCCAGAACTCTTTGGGCTGTTCAAAGGCAATCCTCAATCCTTACCTTGGGCTACGCAAGGAACCGGGTTCCTTTGTAGTGGCTTTTTGAAAGGGATTCTGGATTGGGATTGGCCAAGCCTCCATTTTGAAGCAGCCCAGGCTGTTCTTTCCAGTTGTCTTTGGACCGTCGCAGTCTAGAATATCTTGGCAGCACCTCAGGGTTTGAAAGGCCGTACACTACCACACTGGGTGAACCCCCCTCATTCTGGAAAGACGTGGGTAGGGTCGACGTGTGCATTTTGCCTTCGGCGTCGTGGGACTCTCGCCCCTCCCAGGCCTTTCGCGAGCTCCGCCTGATGGTGGCATCCATTGTCAGCTCCGCGGCCGGGCGGCAAGTGGTGCGGCCAGCCAGGGACTCCTTGGCTGGAAACGCCTGGGCACGTCCCAGATGCTCCGGCCAACAAATTGATGGAGTCTCCCAAAAGTTGCTCGCAAACCACTTTGGGGTTCCATGGGTGGACATTTCCTCCTGGTGCAAACCCACTTTATAGGTTCCACGGGGGGGGGGGGATAAACAAAGCATTCTGACGGCCACTTCTTCCTGTCATCCACCGCATTATACCGCATTTTTTTCGGTTCGGCGCAGTTCAACCGAAGGCGCGGAACCTCCTGTGGGTGATCCTCATCATCTGCGTCCTGTTGTATGCTGCCGGGCTGACCTTGGACTCGGGGTGGATCCCAGAAAACGGAAAACGGATCGTTTTGTCGGGGAGGTCGGCAGAAAAGTACCGATCGTCGGGGTTTGTGGGCATGAGTTTCTTGAGTCATGGCTTCTTGGCCCGTGCTTTGGGGAAAGGGCAAGATGCAGAGTAGATGGATCAGCCTGTGGCACGCTTTGACGAGATAGAGAAACGGGATCTCAGAACCATCAGCACTAGCAGAGTCCGTTGGTTTCGCGGCTTCGCTTTGTTTTGTTGCCTTGTTGCAAACATGCAAGGCAGATCGGAGGACAGACGCGGGCCCGAAATTGGCTTGAGAGGGGTCAGGCCCCTGTTGCGGCAGTCACTCCTTTGTTCCTTAGCCAGGTGATTGCAGGAGGTGTGAAATTCGTGTCGGGAACGGGGGGCAGTCCCAAACTGCGGGAGGCGCTTCCTCATTTGGTGGCCCTGTTTCCAATTTGCAGAAGCGGGTTTTGAAGCCCAAGGCGAAAGCCAGGGGGGGCGGGGGGGCGGTTGATTCTTTTTGCTTGGGTTTAGCTCTCCCAGGGCTCCTCGCTTTGCGTGGCAGTTGGGAGTGCGTGTCTTTGGGTTGGTTTGGGGTTCATTCAGACTTGGCAGGCTGATATTCAGGCTGGCTGGCTGGGTTTGGTTTAGGGTTGACTTGGGTTTCGCGCTGGCTTGGTAGCTGTGAAGGCTGGTTTGGCCGTGTCTTTAGGGGTTGCTTTAGGGATGTTGCGTGAAGAACGATCCCAAAACCAAGCCCAAACTCGGGTTTTGAGGTTTGAGTTGGCTCCTTCCTCAGGTCTTTGGGATCAGCTTCACCAGCGCAGTTGCGCTGGAGCTGGAGATGTCTTCCAAGGACGCTCCTGGCACGGACGAGCTGAAGAGGCGGGGGATTGAGTGGACATGTCGCCCGCCCCTGAGCTTGTCTCAAGCCATGCTGTAGGGCCACCTTCGGAACGTAGCATCAGACGTGGCAGCTTCATGGGTCTTGCCCTGAAATCCTTGCGCGACAACCGCGCCTCGTTTGGTCCTTATCTCCCCCCCAGCCACGTCTATATACTCTTTCTGCCCTGTCTTTTTTAAAGAAGGAGGGGAACATCGCCTTGGGTGAAGCCCTCCAGACCACCAAGTTTCAAAGACCTGCAATATTCAGAGTTTCCGAGCCATTTCCAAAGGGAACCTCCAGAAGCGTCGATCGTTTCAATGGAAACCACCAGTCCATTGATTCTTTGATTTGGGGAACCCAGTGACCCCTGATCTCCAAGCCCTTATTTGGTTCCCGCTTGGGTCGCGCGAAGCTGGATGCGCTAGCTTTGCGGACCCGAGCCAGGTACTTCGGCTCGCTGTCGAGCTCCATCCTGACCCTGTACAGCTCAATGTCTGGCGGGGAGGACTGGACAGTGCAGCCCGGAGAACGAAACATGCGGCTCTCAGGCTGCGGCTCTCAGGCTGCGGCTCTCAGGCTGCGGCTCTCAGGCTGCGGCTCTCAGGCTCCGAATTCTGCCTTGGCCTTTTGGGGGCCGAATGGTTGTGTGTGTGTGTGTGCTGGCCTGCGGCTAGCCCGTCTATGTGGTTCAGCAGGGGCCATTCGTCAATTGGACTTCGTTCGGTGAAACCTCCGGCTGCGATTGGCTGCAAGTGACCTTCTGGTCTCACTGTTGTATGCTAGCCTCACCAAAAGGGAAGCAATTGCGGCCCCATGGGGCCCGAGGCCTGGTAGGCAAGAGGGGTTGCTCAATGGCGGATGCTTGTTACTTTTGGCCAATGACAACAGCATGTCTGAGTATGGTGTTGCAGCTGCTGTGATCGTGCTTGTACGTGCCCTCACATGGTGGGAGGTACTTACGGGTGCGAGGATACCCAAGCCATGAGGGTGGGTCATCCGAAGAGATCCCGGCATAGCTCTTCCAGCCAATGGAGAGACAGAGAGAGAGAGAGAGAGAGAGACCGGCTAGGGGTGGTAAGCATAGGTGTCCTTTTCGGTTGTTTTGGTGGAAAAACAGATGGCCCTGGTTTACCTGGTGGTCTAATCATCTACCAGGGCCATCTATTTGGTGCTGAGCTGAGGTATTACCACGTGCTGGACCGGCTGCCCTGGCCGTACCAGAGCCTTCGCCGCTTTAGCCATGGCCAGTCGGATGAAAGATGTGAGCGGCCACGTGCTGTGCTCACCGGGTTCTGTAGCAACTCTTTGCTAAAGGTGCCGCCCAGGCTTTGAAAAAAATGGAAGAAACATGCAATTTTCCCAAAAGTTCGGGAATGGCCAAGAGAGGGCCTGTACAATGTTGGGGCATGTTGCGAGGCACTGCAATGCTCAGGCCTACAACGTGCTCCTTGAACATATCAGCATTCGGGCCAAGTTGAGGCGAAATGTCTTTTTAGGTGATGCAGGGGAGTATCCACAAGAACCCTGACGATCTCAGCTGTGCATCAGGGGAGTGGAGAAGGGCGGTCTGAGGGCCGTCAACGGTTTCAGACAGGTCCCGGATGACGACACAGCGCATACCACCTTACAACTCCTTTGGTGGAACCCATTTTGCGCCGGCAAACTCTTGATTGAACTGAGGATGCTCTTCCTCTTTTTCGTGACTTTTGCCGTGTTCGCCGTGGTGAATGTTGTGACAGGCAGGATCAACGACAGCATCCGCCTGTGGTTCATCTAACGGATGCAGCTAACAGCCAATTCTATTTCAACACAAAGCAGGCCTCTTGTCTCTCTCCCCCTTTTCATTGTTGGATTTTGCAGAAGGTGGTGCAGGTTTTTGGCAATTCCAACCTACAATGCCAAAGTTAAATGGGGAGACCGGCATTTTTTGCAAACCATAGTGAACGCGGTGCAGAATCTCGTCCGTTTTTCCCATTGGGAAGTTTCTTTCCCCACTCAAACGCTCCCGTGTAGACTTCCATCTTAGATGCTCCAACTGCGGATTCCAGGAAAGTGTCGCACACTTAAACTTCACCCTTTGCATTTTTGAGAAGGACGTCGACAGGCGGAGCATCAAACATGACTTGCCGGTGCTCTGCAGGGGATGAGAAATGGAATGACCCCTTATCAGCCATCCCTCGTGTCCTTTAAGGGAGTCCCTAGGTTCATTCCCAAACCTTCCATTTGGTCAAGAATACGTTTTTTTTTTTGGTGGTTTCAAAGGGAATCCATCACTACTGGCCATATTTTTCATTTTTTCCAGGGGACGAACAAGCAAATGGAGGAAATTCTGGGTCATTCCCTACTGAGCGCCAGCAACATCAACCCATCCTGGGCTTCTCGCGGAGGCGTCTTCGTGGACACGGCCATCGAGAAGAACCAAAGCGACAAGGAGCGAGCAGCTTCCGAGTAACTTCTTCGCAGTCCCATGCATGTTCATACTGTGGATGGACGAAATCCATTTCGGACCACTTGGAAACCATGGAAACCATTGTTCGTTGGTATTTACAGGGGATTCATCATTCCAGGGTTTCCCCAGGTGGTGCAGGATTTCGTCCATCCACAGTATGGGTATGGGTCAAACTTACACCACCAGACCAAATTCATGTTTCCACTTACCAGGGTTCCATTTGGGGTACATATTTTTGACCCACTGCCATTTGGGTGTGTCCTTTTTGAGGGTACTTGTTGTTGCGCTGTTGCAAAGAGGAACCAATTGAAAAACCGCACAATTTTAGGGGTTCATGACAATGAAAGGCCCAGTTTCGCTTGATATTGCAGAGTTGTTTTTTTGGGTATGGTAGTTTTCCTTTTGGTTTCCCTTCCAAACCATGCCCTGAAAAAGACAGACCCATATGACCATTAAAGGCCAAGCTTCGCTTGGTGTTGCAGACGTGCCAAGAGGATTCCCAAACCACCCTCAGCCTCTCCCTAGGTCACCTTGCAACGTTTCCCCGCGTCCGCGACATGCCTTCGCGGCTCAATTTCGTATACCAGCTTGTCAATGAATTGACAACCGGTTTTTGATACCCTTCCTCCCACTAACATGTCACCTGCATCTGGAAGATCAGTTTCCTCTTGGAGGGACCCCCTGTCAGGTGCCAGTGGGAGAGAGGATGGACGTTCCAGAGGGGGTGCAAAACCACCCCCTAAGTATTGTATTTGCTGGGGAGGTTCACCATGGAGCAAGACGCTCACTCACTGGTAGTTTTGGGTCCGCCATTTAGGTCAATCAACCAAGCAGGGGCCGATTCTGTGTTACCTTTCGGGTCAGTGAACTTTGGGTGGATCTCGAATCAGCCCAGAAGGCCGGAATCGACCATCTACCGGTTCGCCGCTGTGAATCGACCCCAAAAGGCATTCACCAAGGTTCACCCCCACGGGTCAATTCCAGGGTCACCCCAAGGTTGACTCGAAGGTTCACCCCAAGGCTCACCCCAATACTAGGTCTTCCGGTAGTGCCTCTTTTTTTTTTTTTGTGGGAGGGTACCAACTTATTCGAACCTCTCTACTGGAGGACCTAGCGTCTGCTTCCAATCCTTCGGGTTGGTGGGTTGGTCATCAGGAACTGGCCATCCAGGAGGAGCTCAGGAACAAGAAGCTGCGCGCCTCCGGTGGAAAGGGAAGGGCCGGCTGAGGCGTTGATTGGCGGAAAAGGGCTGAAGGGGTTGCGGGGATCAAAATCCAAATGGGTTGGTTGGGTTGTGTTGGCTTTTGTTGGGGAGGGTTGGGAGGGTAGGACGGTAGGCCTGGTTGGTCGGCTGGTTTGTCTTCTTGGCTGCATCTATTGCCCTGCATTGCGCCGGGCGGCTTAATCTATGCGAGGCATGAACTGGATCCGCGACGTCTTCAGCGAGCTGGACTCCAGTGGTGATGGCACCGTAACGCTGGGGGAGTTCGAAAACCAGCTGACGCTCGGCCAACGTGGGGGGTGAGACTTTGTACTTTTGGAGGGGCCCTTGACCTCCGAATAGGACGGGTTCTACTTAGACCTGGGGTCAACATTAGCAGAGCCGGGCGCTTTCGAATAGGACGTGGAGGCACTCACTTGTTGTTTTTTTCCCTTTCTTTTTTTTTGTGCGGTGCAAAGCACACCAGGCTTTTGCTCGCGAAGCAAGCCAACACATTCTTCCGCACTCGATCGACTTTTGGCGCTGGTAAGATTTTGCTGACCGCTTCTACCGATAGCCGTGAGGCATCCGCAAGCGTTGATCAGGGAAGGCTTGGGATTGCAGGTGGGGAGCGGTGAGTTGGGCCGAAAGTCTGAGCTTCGCAGCTGGTCATTGGCGGCAAGCGCTGTGTCAATCGGTGCCGCACCGACCTTTGGCCTATGGGGGGTGATCAAAGTTCCACAGAATCAACCGGGGACGCACTAGACATTGCACGTGAAAGCCCGTGTCTCAACGTGGTGCTCCTGGGGAGCACACCGCTGCAGGCCTGAGGATAGCGCAGGGAAAAAAGCACGCAAGGGCAGTTTTCGGATCATAATTTTTGGGCCGGGATGTTCAACTGTTGTACGTGGAAGGATTTCATGCTTCGCACCAGGAATCATGAGGCGGTCATTGCCTACTTCAACACTCTGAAGCTGGACGTCAGTGATGCGAGGACGCTCTTCAAGCTTTTGGACAGACGCTTGGTTGCGATGGCCGATCTTTGTGAGGGTCTGACGAGTCTGACGGAGTCTGACGGGTTGCAATGGCCTTGGGCACGGGGCTGCGTACCGAAGCTCCTAGACTTGATGGGTCTTAGGCCCACCTTGTACACCAACATCAGGTCCTGGCGGCCTCTTGTGAAGAACAGTCGTGTCCCAAGACATTGCTTAGGAAACGGGTGTGTCATTTTTTAATGGTGCTCTGTTTTGGGTTGCTTTTGAAGGATCCAAAGGGAAACCACTGGTTTGGGGGGCTCTTCTCTGACATACCCGAACCTGTTGATCCCTTGGTCTTTCTCTACGTTGCCTCGAGGTGATGGCTCCGATGGCGTGAACATCGACGAGTTCGTGTCCGGGTGCTACCGCCTGTCCGGGGAGGCCACGACACTCCACACCCAGGCACTGTGCGGTCGGCTTCGCATTTCGGGCATCGCCATGTCCGCACGAATCCGCGCGTCTGCGTCTCGTCCGTAAACGCGCATTTGCATCCTCTACGGGCTGTGTTGGTCTTGCTGTGCCTGAGTGCTTGTGTGTTGCGTGTCCGTATGCGTGTCTGTGTCCGTGTTCGTGACTGTCTGCCTTCTTGCCTATTGGATCGCTCGCCCGCCCGGCTCCCCGTCCGTCCGTGAGTGTGTCCGTGTTTGTCTGTGTTTGTCTGCTTCTGTCTGTCTGGCCGAGACGCACACTGAAAGGAATGCACTTGTTTGGTAGTTCATCCCGCGTTGGTGTTTGTCTGTGTCTGTATGGCCGAGACGCACACTGAAAGGAATGCGCCTGTTTGGTGTCGCGGGTGGTGATCGCGGGGCCATCTTGGCGCCCACAGCTAGGCGCATGCATGGCTGCTTTGCCTTTTGCAGCTTGGCCAGCGCTAGGTCATGCAGATGGACATCAAGGACATTCTCAACAAAATGCCGCTTGGAAGCATCGCCGTGGGATTCAGGATGACCAACTCAGTTGTTCAGTGGCACCCTTTTCCCCTTTTTTTATTTTATTTTTTGGAGTGGCCGCCCCACTAAACATGGTCTTCCCCAAAAAGGGTTCCTTTTTTTCCAGGGTCACTGAACAACTGAGCCTAGCTCTGGACAAATCGATCCGCCCCAGCAAGTGCCCATGATCGCAGTTTTACACTGCACCATGGGCCGTACTCGGTGCGTAGATGTGGAGCTAGAACACGGGCCCCGTTCGCGTTTGAGCGAACATGAAAAAAAAGGCATGCAGCTGTAGCATGGCCACGTCGCTGAGCACAGGCAAGGTTTGTTTTTTTGAGGACCCTTTCAACTTGGTGGGGAACCAAAAAGGGAATCCCCAAATGACCTTGCATTCCTCCTGTCTTGGGAGTTCCTCGCATTCCTTGCACCCGTGTTTGGCTGTCTTCTGCAAGGGGCAAGGCAGACCCTCGTTGCCCTTCCGACCTCCACGTAGAACCAGGCAATCCCCCGCCAAATTTGGTGAAGTCCATCGGCTGATCTTCCCCTCGCGTTTTGAACTCCGAGGATTTGGGTGGTGGGCACTTTGGAGGACTTGCGGGAGAAGAAGCCCCGCAACAGCGGCCGGGTTTCCACCCACTCCAACCGCCCCTCCATCCGCAACTCCGGCGTCGAGGAGCGGGGCCTCTTGCGGGCCTCGGAACGCTCCGACTTCGGCTTCTGCTGAGACCTGCTGGAGTTGGCAACCTTTTGACCTGTTTCTTGGCAGATTTCTTCCTCATATTTTAGTCACGGCCCTAAAAGTGGAAACTTCTTTTGGCTGGCCCACTCAGCTGGCCCAACTCTGGTCAGGAGAGGAGGTTGCGAAGTCCGCTTCCGGTGAGATAGAAACCGACAGAGGCTGAGAGCGGCTCGTGTTTTTCTTTTGGCTAGAAAAGTGCCATAGGATTTTGGTTCAGCTTGGAAAGGTGGGCTGTGGACGTCGTTCTTCGGGCTTGCTGAAATCAACGCAAAGCTTTGCACGAAGGGCATCGGCTTGGAAGAGGCCCTTCCAAGAGGTGTCAACAGACGCCGCCATCCCAAGACGGCTTCCACTTGCGGTTCCTTGGAATCTGGAGTAGGTTTCCTGGCAGCCCCCCTCTGTTCTGATGGGATCAAAGCACAAGCGGAAAAGCAAAACAAACGCCCTCAGTGCCTTGCTGCTGAGGGTGTCAAGTGGGGGGCTGCAACCAATCCACATCGGCCATAGTCAAAAGTCAACAGACCAAACAACGAGTCAAGCGTGCAATGGCTGGAGTATCAGGATCTATGAAGCAGCGACTCCTTGCCGTCTGGTCAGATAGAGTTTTGACGGCACTGTGGTTCGCCTGACTGGTCCGTGCGGTTCTTTCGGCCCTTCAGGGTTTTTTGCTTGCAGCAAGGGGCAGGCCTAATTCATTCTCTCTTGGCCTGGGGCCTCAGGGCCCCAGGCCACTGCGTGGTGCATCGAATTCGATCCTTGCGAGGAAGTTTTTCAGCATCTCTAAGAGATGTGACGTTTGTCCTCCGCCCACCCGAGGCTGGGCTCAGTTTTGGCAGCTGAGGGCTGCTGCGCCGCGGTTGGGAAGCTTCCAGCCTGCGCTGCGGAAGCGCGAGACGCCGCGAGACTGCGACAAAAGCTGAGGTCGCAGACATGGATCCAGAGCGCGCCGGTCGCATGCGCTGTTGAGCCAAGGAGCCCTCCGCTTGAAGTCAAGTTGGGAGTGTCTTTGGCACCAACTTGCGAAAGAGATGCCCAGGAATAATGTTTCAAGGGCTACTTTGTGCACTTGCGCGTGGTGTGAGAAGCTCCTTGTGCATGGTTTTGGCGGCTCGAGAGCTGACGCGTCAAGTCATCTCCCTTCAGCTGGAGAACCCAAGAGGCGGCAACTCCCTTCAGCTAACGAAACGCGTTGAACCTTAGGATATGCTGGGCCGCATTTTCTCTCACCAGTCAAGAAGTATTATCACACTCTAAAATCCATTGGATGGTGGTGGATGATATATATATATATATCTATAGATACCGTAGATGGACAACATCCACGTTGCGCCAGGCCGGTGGTTTATCCACCAGTCGTCAATTCAGTTTTTCATCCATCCCAACTGCACATTTCATCCCCTCAAACTGGCACAACAGCCCCGGCGCGCCACCTGCGCGCGGAAAAAAGATGGCGCAGCTGTACCGAGAGGCAGGGCGCGTCGTGGAGGACGCGGCGAAGCAAAGCCAAGCCACATGGATGAATATGTCTTCGGGGCAGGCAACGGCCCAGTCAACTTGAGTTGTGTGGGCACGAAACCTTAAATGAGCCACAATCAAAACCCAGGTAGATGAAGGTTGGTAAGGGACAATCCCAACCATAAATAGCTGCGGCCGCCTTCTTACATGGCTCTGGGTAGACCAAATTAGCACCGGATTTTAACTATGACTCAAATCCAGTTGGTTAGGTTGAACCTCTTCCAAGGAATCCTTTGGGACGCCAACAGCCTGTGTTTGAAGCAAGATGCACAGGTTTAAGCCATAAATGGCTTTGCTATTCAGGTAGCCCTTACTGAGGCCATTGGCCTTACAAGGATTGCAGGCATCATTGCGCTGCACTCATGCCTCCCCAGCATCGCTAGCATCGTCAGCATCAGCACCATCCACATTAGCCAGCATCACCAGCAACACGGCAACAGCAGCACCAGCACCACCAACATCAGCACCATCAACATCACCACCCAACAGGACCAGCACTACCACCAGACCACAGGCCAAGGCAATGTGCCTCCAACGGTTTTGATTCACACGCTGACATCTTTTTCTGTCCAGGTGTGCTTCATGCTCTTGAAGAAGGTCCAGTAAGCCAAACCGGGAAAGTTTGCTCCAGCTCACGCAAGAAACGAGCAGGATTTAAACCACCGACCGAAAAATGCGGCTGTGCCTCCACACCTTTGCCCCAACCTCCTAGAACGCGCGCAAGATCCCCGCCCCGCAGGAGGTCTCGCGGGGGGTTGGCTTCAAGGCCGCCCTCTACGGCGCCTCGGCTCGCGCGGGATGCGACCCGCGGGCCGTCTGCAAACTGGCGGCGCAGGCGTTGAAGAGGCGCCGGGACTTGGAGCAGGCGCTGAGGCGCGGGGAAGGGACTCGGAGGGGTGGGGGGGGGGGAAGGGGTGGGGGGGGGGGTTGAGTGGTTGAGTGGGGGGCCTGGTCGAGGGTGTACACAAATCTGTGTTTCTAGGTATATATGCATATCTCTAAGACAGACATGTGTATATATATATAGAGAAAGATAGAGATAGATATGTGTGCATTGTGTGAGAATGAGTGTGTGTGTGTAGGGGCTCTTATTATCTTTTTATTTTATGAAGTTGTTTTTGTTTGGGGGGATGGGATGGGGGTTTTGCTGGGTGATGTAGGGGGTGTATCAGAACTGTTTGTGGCTGGGCGGGGAAACCAGCAGGCGGGTGGGGCGGCAACCAAAGGGGCCCCCTGTCAGGTATGTTCATTGGTGGGGTGTAACGGTTTGGCTCAGTTGGGGATTTGGAACCCCAAGTTTTTGCAGGGGAAGCAGCTTGCCGCAGCGTTCTATTTCGGCGCCTAAATGTCTACGCGGCCGTAATCCGAGGTCTTGTGGTGAATCAAGAAACCTGAGAATTCGGAGGGCTGAAACGCAGTCGGGGCTTCCCTGTGAGGCAGTGCGGCCTGGATTGTGGCGGCCTGCTGCTTGTCATGGCACCTCAGTTGCAGGTTTGTCAGGTGATTTGGTTCTTGGTTGATTCGGCGGCCCGGGCCATGGTGGCCAGGAAGTGATGTGTTCCTCAAGTTGCTGCTTCATGGGACCTTTGCCGGGCAGTTTACGGATACGAATTGAAGGAATCTTCTCTTGCCGAATCTGGCGGCGCCTCCTTCCGTCTGAGTCCTGCTGGGGGTTACGGATGCTCTTCTGACAGATTCTCTTTTCAGATCTCCGTCTGACAGAGCGTTTGCATCGGAGACACATCAGTGGCATCGATTGTTGCCAGGCTCGCTGATGCTTTTCAACTTGTGGTCAGGCTGGCAGCCAACTAGGCAAAACCGGAGGTCACTGGAAGCCAGGTCTTAGTTCAACACAGCCTTCTTGTTGCTAGGTTGCGGGAGGCGCAGTGTAGAACATTCATTTCATTTCACTTTGGCCGTTTGGTCGCTGTCGCTCGTCGACTTTTCCAAAAGGACACCTAGATCCCGGGGCCTGGGGTCAAAAAAGCATCCCCTTTGCCCTCGGGATGCCAGGAATGGTTCATCACCTTCGGTCCATGGCTTTGCTTGAGACCGCTTCCACTACCGCCACTACCCCCGAGCCACTGCCCCAGGAATAGCAACAGGGTTCCCTTTTGGTTATGCACACATACACACACTATATTTATATATATATATATGTGTGGTGTGTGTTTGTTTGTGTTTGGGTGTGTGCGTATGTGTATATAAATGCATGTGTATCTACATATATAAATATACATATATATATATAAACAGAGAATTCATGAATAAATTCATGCACATATACACATGTGCCATGCAACCATAGATATGATGCACATATGCCTCCTTCTGCCCGAAGCCTTCCAAGGCCTACGATCTTCTGCTGGGCCGCGGCTTGAAAGGCGGGGGCCTCCTGTCGCGCCAGCTCCGTGAGAAGCGTCCACAGCTTCAAGCCGCGCTGGCGGCAGATGAGGAGGCGCCCCTCTGGCGACTCAAAGGGGCCACTTCTCTACTGCTATTGGGTTGGATCTTTAGACTTTAACTTTTTGGATTCTCCTCATATTTTTCCTTTTAACCAGCAAACAGTTTGACTTTTTGCTGGGGGATCTACAGCACCCAAGATTTGTGGCACCCAAGTTGGACCCAGCAAGTGGGGGCTCTTTCAACATGGAACCCCAAGATGGCTTTGGGTTTCCCTGCGGCTTTCCTTCAGCCCAAAAAGGGTACTGAAAAGATGACATGCCCTATGGAGCTAACATTGGCTGAATATGCGGTCAACCCCAACATGTGCGACTTTCTGGGTCCAAGTTTGGCCCCGAGAGACAGACAGGGAGACGGGGCGGCAGAGGGGGCGGGAGAGTGTTGAACAGGGTGCCCCAAATCTCCGCTTAAAAGGTGGGTGCGTTTTCTTTAGTGCTCTTTTAAGCACTCCCGTTTGGTTTGCCTTAGGGGCTGCTTGTTGACACACTCTTTGGGCACGACTTGCTTGGACTTCCCTCTTTTTGACTTTTTGATTCCCAATGCAAATCCTTGTTGAAACAGACTGACGTTTTCGTAATTCATTCGACCTGTAGGTTCGTAGGTTCAGCTTCCCTCTGGTGGTTTGGAGATGTTCCGGGCTGGTTTCCCCTGTGCCCTCTACAGCCAGGGACCCCTTCAAATCCACACCCAGACCATCCAAAGCGCCAGTTGCCTGGGAAGTCACCCCTGGTTCTTGTAGAGGGAACATGGGAAGCATAACCACCAAACCACCAAACTACCAAACCACCAACAAAGGTGGGAAGCTGAATAACTGAATTGTCAGGACCACGCAATGGACTTCCTCCGGCCAATCCAAAGGCACCAAGTAAGGGTTACCAAACAACAAACCAAACCAAACCAACCCAACCCAACCCAACCCAACCCAACCCAACCCAACCCAACCCAACCCAACCGACCCAACCAATCAACCAAAGCCCTAGTTCCCCAAGAAGTCCGTCAGGATGGATGTGAAATGGACGTCCTCCCGCGCTATGTGCGGGTCAACCGCCTGAAGACGAGCGCCGCCTCGCTGAAAGCCAGGCTGCAAGCAGCCCTCCAGGCCAGCTTTGCTTTTGCTCGACGGATGCGCCGCGCCCAGTTGGGTGCTCCCCCCCCTCAAATGGGTATGGCTCAAAAAACCGGAACTCCAAATGGCTTGCCCTGGCAAGTGGAAACATGGACCAAAACCTGCGTAACCCTAGCTCTTCAATTTTGAGCCACTGCCAAATGCTGGCTTTCTCTGTGGTTTGTCTTTAAGAATCCCCACTGAAAAGGGGTAATTACCACCAAAAAAGAGATATCAAATATCATGATGTACACTACCCGACTGCAGGCCTTGAGTCTACCAGGAAAAGAGTGCATGCTGGCTGACTACATTTGTGTTTGTGATAACTGAACAACAACACTTGCACTAGAAGTAAAGTATCAACGTATTTTAACGTGGTAGCGGAGCTGAGATCCTAAACATAGGGGAGCTCCAGTAACAGCAGTAAGTACTACAACTGCACAGGCAACCAACATGCCCAACTACTACGGCATGTCAGGAGAACCAGCAGCAGCATCAGCACAACCAACTACAGGAGCAGACAACGGGCCCACAGCAGAAGAGACAATAGGAGCCACAACTACGGGAACAACACAGGAGCAGGAAGACGTTAATCTATGCGAGGCATGAACTGGATCCGCGACGTCTTCAGCGAGCTGGACTCCAGTGGTGATGGCACCGTAACGCTGGGGGAGTTCGAAAACCAGCTGACGCTCGGCCAACGTGGGGGGTGAGACTTTGTACTTTTGGAGGGGCCCTTGACCTCCGAATAGGACGGGTTCTACTTAGACCTGGGGTCAACATTAGCAGAGCCGGGCGCTTTCGAATAGGACGTGGAGGCACTCACTTGTTGTTTTTTTCCCTTTCTTTTTTTTCGTGCGGTGCAAAGCACACCAGGCTTTTGCTCGCGAAGCAAGCCAACACATTCTTCCGCACTCGATCGACTTTTGGCGCTGGTAAGATTTTGCTGACCGCTTCTACCGATAGCCGTGAGGCATCCGCAAGCGTTGATCAGGGAAGGCTTGGGATTGCAGGTGGGGAGCGGTGAGTTGGGCCGACAGTCTGAGCTTCGTAGCTGGTCATTGGCGGCAAGCGCTGTGTCAATCGGTGCCGCACCGACCTTTGGCCTATGGGGGGTGATCAAAGTTCCACAGAATCAACCGGGGACGCACTAGACATTGCACGTGAAAGCCCGTGTCTCAACGTGGTGCTCCTGGGGAGCACACCGCTGCAGGCCTGAGGATAGCGCAGGGAAAAAAGCCCGTAAGGGCAGTTTTCGGATCATAATTTTTGGGCCGGGATGTTCAACTGTTGTACGTGGAAGGATTTCATGCTTCGCACCAGGAATCATGAGGCGGTCATTGCCTACTTCAACACTCTGAAGCTGGACGTCAGTGATGCGAGGACGCTCTTCAAGCTTTTGGACAGACGCTTGGTTGCGATGGCCGATCTTTGTGAGGGTCTGACGAGTCTGACGGAGTCTGACGGGTTGCAATGGCCTTGGGCACGGGGCTGCGTACCGAAGCTCCTAGACTTGATGGGTCTTAGGCCCACCTTGTACACCAACATCAGGTCCTGGCGGCCTCTTGTGAAGAACAGTCGTGTCCCAAGACATTGCTTGGGAACCGGGTGTGTCATTTTTTAATGGTGCTCCGTTTTGGGTTGCTTTTGAAGGATCCAAAGGGAAACCACTGGTTTGGGGGGCTCTTCTCTGACATACCCGAACCTGTTGATCCCTTGGTCTTTCTCCCCAGAGCCTCCAAAAGTGCTTATTTAACTTTAAGGATTGTTTATGACAAAAAAATTAAGCAATCATTGTCTAATTAAGCATTGTAGAAGCAGTGCTTAATTAAGCATTGTTGCTTCTGAGTTGTGCAACTTTCAATTTATATGGAATGCGCTTTTTTTGCATAATTTCATTTTACACCGTTTTCTGTTTTGTATATTGCTAGCAAGAACCTCTGAAGCTCGCTGCCCTGCGCTATATACTTCACATGTCCAGTCTAGGCACCTTGTTGGCAGCAAGAAATCTCAGCAATGTCGCTTTGGAAACTGCTGCCATGGAAAACTTTCCTCCTCTTCGTCTGGCCAGCAATGCCAATGTGTGGCCAAACGACTCATCTCGATATGTCCAAGTGTGCGCAGGATTGGTTCTGGACCTAGCCAGCTCCAGAAGTAAGTGCCCTTTGGGCTTCACTCGAAGCAAAATATCTTCCCCAAAGAAACTTTCCAAGGTGCGCATGAGCAACAGAAACTTCTGCGCTGCTCGTAGGAATTTGTCAGCGTCCCAGTTCGCCGCACTCAAGCAAGCGTACATAGCTTGCAAGTGCTTGCAACCCTGCAGCATAGCTGACTCATGAGGTATGCTTGCGTCCATGTATTGAGTGGCCAGCTGCAAACAGCACGGCACCAAAGCTCTGCTCTCTCCTGCTTTGACTCGAAGCTTTGGAACTTTCTTCTTTCCCTTGACTTCGCGTCTCAACATGGTTGGGAGAAGCTTTGGCAACCTGTCTTGAACCTTGTTGTCTTTGTAGAACTGCTGAATATCACGAAACAGCTTGGCGCATCTGACGCGCATGGAAACTCCTGCGATCTTCTGCTGCTGAATGTAAAAAAGCAAGCAGCCATGCCAGTCAGCCGTCACCCCCAAGTCGCAGCAGTGAAGGAAATCCACCTTGCAGCTCTGAGTAGTGAAGCCAGGAACTGAAAAGAGAGCTGAAATCAGTTTTCCAGACTGCTGCTGCCTCAAGAAGAAATCCATCGCCGAAATCAAAGGATACCTGAGCAGACGAAAGCCAGCACAAGAATTCTTAAGAGCAGGCTAGCCTGCTAGGGCTGCGTCATGCCTATACGAATGAACCACAAATTAAGCCCTTATCTAACAATCTCAGACAAGACACTTCTCAAATGTTGCGTTGCTGAAATCTTTCAAGTCAGTCTTGGTGGCGTTGCAAAGCCAGCAGATATGCCCCTTGGCAGACCAGCTTGGAAAATCTAGTACCTCCTTGTACATTGACCAGTCTCCTCTCATCTCTGCCAGAGCTGCGCACACTCCCACTGGTTTGCCTGCCAACTTTTTTCTATAGGCATCACTCTTGTTGAATTCCTGCTGCGTGTGCCTCTGGTGAGGCATTTTGTCTACTAATAAGATCCTGAAGCTCCAAGCCAATGCCTCAAAAATGCACTCATATGTCTTTCCCTTAGCTCGCATCGCCTTCGGAAAAGCACACAAGGGCACTCTCAAGCCCTTTTCTCCAAACAAGCACAATGTAATGGTCTCCAGAGTCTGCGATCTGTCAGAATTGAATGGGACTCCATCGATCCATAGCCCCAAGAGCAGCACCTTATCATCCTTGGCCAAGTCGAAATTTGCTAAATGCTGCTCCAGGTCGGGCCGTTCAGCCAAGATTGCCCGTTGGTGCTCCAGCAAGACCCGAGGGTCATTCACCTTCAACAGCGCGTGAACCACTTCATGCGGCATCAGCATGCACAGCTTGGATTTCTCCTCTGCGTCCGTAGCCTCATTGAAGGCTGTGACTTGCAGCTCATACGGCGCAGGCCATTTTGTGTTTCGAAAACACTTTCGCAGCAAATTTCTGTAAGCATTCTTGCCTGGCGCCACCTGCAAATCTTGGATGTGCTGCGTTCCAGCCAAGGAAGCGTTGCCTAATACTCTGGCTGACCTTTGTCCAGATAAGTCATTGTTTAAAAAAATGTCAATCATGTCTGCTCGAAACCTTTTCTCCGGAGGAATGTCATTCACTTCCTCGCATGGCAGTGTCCTTTTGTTGTACATCTCCTCCAACAAGGAGGCTCTTCTGCCTTGCCCTACCAAACAAGTGCACACTTGAAAGTTATGGCGCTTTAGAGGCGAGCGCTTAAGAGATTTAGCTTTGCTTTATCTTATTTTGAACTGTGACTGCAGTGATTGTGGGCCAACTTCAAACTACAGCTTGAGCCAACCGGCCAAGAAAATATAAGAGGCATGCAGACACATGCGCGAAGCATGATCTCAATGACTCGATCTGCTGCTTTTTCGTCCATCTCTAGGACAAGCCTGCAAACAAAATCCACAGGCGTGGCTCCTGTACTATATCTTCTCAGGAGAGCAAACTCTTGCTTGTTTTGTAGATCAGCTTCACTGCTTTCTCGTGCATGCTTGCCTTCTCATTCAATTCCTTCAGCTGGGCAAGCAGATCTGGCACCTCCTGCTGCTTGTCGGTTGGAAAGGGAACGGCCAGCTGCGTCCTCACCTCTGACAAAAAGCCAGACAACTGCTGGTCAGCGTTCTCCAACTCTCCTAGCTTTTTGCCCCAGCTGTTATCCTTCAGGCCAGCGATCTCTGCTGTCAGGAGCTTTAAGTCCTCCAACAGCTTGCTGAGGCGAACCCTCGCAGCTTGCAGGCTCTTTGACTCAGACTTGGCCTCAGACAAAGACGCAGACATGCCATGCTCAGCTGCAGAAGAACTGGCCAACTCTGGTCGGCCCAGCAAGTCCAAAGCCATCTTTTGGCTTGCCTTGCCCTTCATGCCCGCAGCAGTGCTTGACATGCTGCTGCTTGTCCTTGTGCCCTCAGTGTTCTTCTTGCCCTTGGTGTAAACAAAAAGGTACTTGTGCAACTGCTTGAACTTTGAGTGCTCTTGCACCTGCCTCGAGTGGCCAAAGCTCTTCTCAGATTTGGAGAGGATCTCCTCCAAAATCTCATCCTTGTCATTTTCTGACAGGCCGGCTGTGTCAATATGCTCGATTTCGAAGATCCCTTGCCTCAGCTGCGTTGGCGCAATCCCAGAATGCTGCTAGCAAGCCATGAAACTGCAGAAGAGAAAAACAAAAGCCACTACTAAGCCAAACAACCTGGTGAAGAAGTTGGTGACCAAGGACTCAGTCTCGTCCTTAATGTTAGATGTCAGGGACTCCAGGCTGTGGACCCAGCTGCAATTCTTCACTCCGAATTCTTGCAGTTTGTCCAGAATCAACTTCTTCTCCTCAATGGTGCCCGCTTCGTACTCCTACCAAGGAGATCAAGCTGTCAGTTAAGTAGCTGGCCAAGAAGCCCACTACAAACTATGCATGCGGCGGTCCTGCAACACCTTCTGTGCGTCATCCTTCTGGGAGTCACTGGTTTTCTTTGCCTTCACTTGGTATTTTAGCGAAGTGAGAAGCGCGCTCACTGTGCCTCTGGCGTAGCCCAGCTGGCTTGGTGGGGCCCCAGACCCATCATGCTCCATGGGCGCCTGGCCATCTTCCCTTTTGGCAGCCTGGTCTGAGGCCGAGGCATCGCCAACAGTCTCCAAAACAGGCTCCTTGACACGCTTCGGCTTTGCCTTGGGCGTTGTTTTCACTTCCTTTTTGACTTTCTTGCCAGCTGTAGCTTTGGCAGCTGACTTTGCAGCCATAGCTTTGGCAGTCTTCCCCATTTTGGGAGCCATGATCCTTACCTGACCTAAGCTTGAGCCTTCTCAACATTCGACACCTAGAGAAACACTGCCGCGCGCGTGTCTTTATCTTAAACACTCTGGATTGATATTCAAACTATGCGCCCGAGCCTTTTTGTTTTGGCACACTCCAATGCCAAGCTCAGCCTCTGAAACCGTACATCCTTCTGAGATCTTCTAGTTCGTTTCTACCTGGCCCAAAATTATCTCCAGCATTGGGCAGGCTTTGCTGCAAACTACTCAGGAGACTTGGCGATGGTACAATGTTCTCAGGCAATCTGTACCAAGGCGTCCTGCTCTCCCAGCCTGACTGATGAAGGCTTACATGACAGATTGTTCCTGCCAAATTGCTCCAGTAGCTTAGCAGCACGGGATCCCCATCAGGCCATACCATGGCTGACAACTGTGGGGATCTGGCTAAAACAAACCAGAATGGCTGCAAACCATCGCCTCACAAGGGAGTGTCAAACAGCAAACTCAATCCTACCTGATTCAAACTTCATAGATTCATGTCAAATGTATAGCACTACTGTAATCCTTCAAAATGCAATGTATACACCAAACAAAAATAAACAACTATATCAAGTCACAACCCCATCCCGGGTTGCCTGCACCCACAAAATATATTATATTACTCCCACACCCGGACAATAATTTTTAACAATCATTTTTTTAACAAATTTTTAACTGTTAAAAATTTTGATTTTAAATGGAGTTTCCTTTTAAAATCAAAATTTTTAACAGTTAAAAATTTGTTAAAAAATGATTGTTAAAAATTTTCTGTGTGTTGTTGATTTCCTAACCAATACCAAATGCAGTGATCATGGTGCGATCAATATCAAATCAGTGAAGCTGCAAGACCGAAGAAACTTGGCAAGTCACACCAAACAACAATGCACACACTTGACTGCAAGCTGAAAACCATCAATGGGCACACAGCCCCAATGTCTATTAGTGAAGGTGCCAGCCTCCTTCCAAGGAGGATGCCTCCTTCTCAGGAGGCTTGCCATGGCCATGCACACAGACCAAGTCAAGTCAAACCACAGTCTACCAGCGCTGCAAGGCGCTTACAACCAGCAACATACTTGAACAGTGGCTACAAGTCTGATATTCTGAGGCCCTGGCTGCATGGCGAAGTCCACAAGGATAACATCTGAGTTAAAGGAATTCCTAGCACCTTGCAATGTGAATCAAAGATGCAGACATGCCAAACAGACAAACAAATGCATCTTTGATCGCAAGTCAATCTAAGACCATACCAATTAAGCCTCCTGCCAAGGAGGTAGTCCTTCTCAAAAAACAAATCCTCCCACCAGGGAGGCCTTTTGTCTGAGGCAGCAGCTGTCCAAGCACGCTCCTACACCCCAGACATGTTTGGCAAGATGCAAGAACCATGGCAACTTGACCAGGCAAACAAGTTTGAGCACATCTGGCATGCATTTTCCCATCACGCTCGAAGATTCCACGGTATCGTGATCTGATCTGGCCACTCAAGCATCTGCCTGGTCAGGACAAGCATCTTGCACAAGTATCAAAACCGTAAAAAAAAACTGGCCTCCTTCTCCGACGGATCTGCTGCGGGCTTATTCTCGGGCTTCTTGAAAGTATCGCCTTCCTGCAGGGTAGATTCACACACAAAAAAGGACACTCCCAAAAAAACATGGCAAATCAATGTGATCTCTCAAGGCAGTCCTTGGCCAGCCGGATGGCCTTTGCCACTGCGCTGGGATGGCCAGGCCCAACCCACCTTCCATTCACCTTCAAAGAATCGATCTGAGCCTCCAACCAAGCTTTTCGCTTCCGTCCCTTATTTTTTTTACCCTTCGCGGGCTCTTCCTCCCAGCCGTGGTCGCGCGCCCAAGCACCTGTCCCCCAGTAGGATCTTTGCCAGCTTTCAAACGCATCCTGCTGAGTGGCCACCACCGCCGGCTGCTCATTCTTCTCATTCTTTTCATTCTCATTCTTTTCATTCTCATTCTTTTCATTCTCATTCTTCTCATTCTCATTCTTCTCATTCTCATTCTTTTTTTCTTCCTGGCGCTCCTTTCCACCAACACGCCAAGGGTGCAGAGTTGCCAGCTCTTTGAAATCCTCTGCGGATTTCCCAAGCATTTTTGCTTTCTCCTGAGCTTCGTCCCTTCCTTGGGCCTCCTGCAAAGCCCACTTCGCATAGTAGGATTTTGTCTCCAAAGGGACATCGGCACTTTTCTCCATCTTAATGCTGGCGCTCAAAAGCTCGGCTGCCTTTTTTCCTTCACTGCCCACTGGTACCCTGCCCGGGCCGCATCACCTTCCTCCGCAGGCACCTCTTGCTGCTTCTTCCAAGCAGCGGTCTCTTCCTCACTGCTGGCCACCTCTTCGATGACGACTTTTTCCATCTCGTCCGAATCTTCGTGCTCTTCCTCCTCCATCTGGGCCCACTCCTCTGTGAGGTGCCTCTGGTAAACCGCATCACTGAATCCGCTCTGACGCCAGGACTGCGGCGACCAACATTCTTCACTCACTCCTTTCTTCCACATTGCCAAGGATGGCTGTTGGTGCATGTAGTACTGGCTGCACAACAAATTCGCGCATAGCGATCCTCTGAGATACGATTTCGTCTTGCAAGCCTTGCAAAACCTGAGGTCTAGCAAGGCCTCGTTGCCCCAATCAGACCCCTTCCAAGCCCGGATCGGGCCTTTCCACTCTTTGCCCACTCTTTGCCATAGCCGCTCTTGCTACTGCCAGCCATGATTATGCAAGCTGCCTGACTGTGACCATATCATGCAATCATGTGCTGACATGCACCTGTCATCATAGCCACTTGAGCTCAAACATATCTGCCAACAAGCGCACATTTGTCACGCAAGCAACATGGCCAAAGCATCTCAGAACAAAGCAATGAACAAAGAGCTCGTGCGCAACCCTGTCTCCTCCAAGGAGACTTTGGGCCGGCAGATGCTGGCATCATCACCTGCAGACTAAGTCAGGGCACGCATGCATGCGCGGCAACTGCACTTCAACATTGAATTCCTCCTGCCAAGGAGGATGGCCTTCACAAAGAAACTTCCTGAAGGATCAGTCCTGGCCATGCACAAGAAGATCTGGCAACCTTGGACGCGGCGCGGCCTGCACAAAAGAGATCAAGCTATACCCTCCTGCCAAGGAGGCCTGCGCCATGCACAAGGCACAAGTGACATCAACAACTGCATATACATGCATGCTTGCCAGCAAAGTCCTGAAAGGGCGCGCACATAAAAATGGCTGCGGTCCAAACGCTCATGCAACGCACAAACACACAAGGTCATGCAACTCAACAAACCCCAAAAAATCTTGCAAACAATTGATGCTGCTCAAAACGTCATGCAAATCCAAAAACGGCATGGTCTGCGGGGCAGGCCTTTTTAAGCGATCCAGTTGGTTTGTTCAAATGCAATATGTTCACTCCAAATTTGGCACAGCGTCCTTCTCGTCCCTTAGCGTGTCCTTGATTTTTTCAAGGCACTGAACCCAGCACTCCGTGATGCTGCTGTGCTTCGACCAACTGTGCTGCCCCTTGCAGATTTCTGGTCTTTTTATATAAAAGGCCTTGCCTCGCATGAGAACATCTATACTCACACTAGTGCCAAGGATCAGAGCCTTCACGGTGTAGGAGTGCAGGCCTGAGCATCCGGAGGCGGCAGCGCCTCCTGCGGCATACCAGCTAGAGGGTACCCGTTCCAAGACTCCAGCTCCAGAGGCGCGGCTGCTAGCAACTCCTGGTTGCTCTCGCCGGACTCGCTGGATCCCACAGTAGCCTCTGCCTCCTTTCCAGCAGGCTCTGCGGCTCGCTTCGCCTTCTTCTTGGCCTTTCCGAAGGCGGCCTTGCCGCGCTTGGAGAACTTGAAAGCCGGCGCGCTTTTGCGACTCGACAGCCATAGATTCGGGACTTGGCTCTCAAATGGCTCTTCGTCTGGGAAGTGAACCATGCAAAACCCAGCTGCTCCTTCCTTCAACTCGCCATGAATGCACTTGCCTCCTTCCAAGGCTTTGACATAGCAGCCCTGGCTGGGGTCAAAGTACGCTTTTGCCAAAGGGATTGCAGCAGCTGCCTGGAGATCCTCTTCCTCCGAGTCTTTCACAACCAAAACATCTGAATCTGAGTCCACCTGGTCTGCCTCTCCCACGTCAGAGGCCTCTGCAGCTGCCTCATCGTCAACTGATGCATTACTGGCAGTGGCTGGAAGACCATACATGCTGAAAACATCGCACGAAGCTGTAGCCTTCCTTTTGAAACGGTATCTTCTGCTTGGCTTAAAGGGTGCAGGGTCACCTGCAGGAAGAGCCTGTGCTGCGCCAGGTGTCTCGACGGGCTCGCGTTCTTTCATGGGATCCATGGCTTTCTGCGGAGTGCCTTGCCCTGTAAGCTGCTTGAGCTTCGACACAAGCCTCCACACACTGGGCGTGAGCTTCTTCCCGGAACTGCTGGACTGCAGCTTGCTCCTCAAATGCTTGAAGCAAGCAGATATGTCCCTTGCCACTGCGCGAGCATCCTTGCCACTGACGTCATAAGATCTGACCAAGCCGTCCCTCAGCACAGACTCTGAAGGCCGAACTGTCTCATCCATGATGTCTGCCAGCAAGCCCTCATACTGTGCTATAACCTCCTCCACATCCTTTCTGAAAGCTGCCGGGTCCAGGTCTTTGAAGTGAGATCTGAAGCACTTCACCAAGTCTTTGGCACTAGCCGTGTTTCTAGCTCGAGGAGGCGGCATGTTTGCAGCCATGCAAGGGCTCGGTCCAACTGCGTCTGCTGCCTTTACGCAGGCACATGCACGCCGCTGCACATACTCAAAAAACATGCTTGAAAAAAAGAAACAACAACAATCTGCGGAAAAAAAACAACACGTCCATCGTCCCCAAGTTAAAAAAACCTTTGACGTTCAGCAAAACAAAGATCAGCGTTCAAGCAAAAATATATTTGCAATCTTGGAGTAAAATTCGAGACATGTCTGTGAAATCCATGAACCATAGAAAATCAAGCTCTCTATTTAAGCATTGTTTTTTGCAAAAACAACAATGCTTAATTAAGCGAACAATGCTTAAATAAAAACTACAATGCTTAATTAAGCACAAAACAATGCTTCCTAAAGCATTTTTGCTTCAAAAAACAAAAAACAATGTTTAATTAAAGGAAAAACGCTTAATTAAGCATTCACTTTAAGCATTGTTAGCTTAATTAGATATTGTTAAATTATTTAACTACTTTTGGAAGCTCTGGGTCTACGTCGCCTCGAGGTGATGGCTCCGATGGCGTGAACATCGACGAGTTCGTGTCCGGGTGCTACCGCCTGTCCGGGGAGGCCACGACACTCCACACCCAGGCACTGTGCGGTCGGCTTCGCATTTCGGGCATCGCCATGTCCGCACGAATCCGCGCGTCTGCGTCTCGTCCGTAAACGCGCATATGCATCCTCTACGGGCTGTGTTGGTCTTGCTGTGCCTGAGTGCTTGTGTGTTGCGTGTCCGTATGCGTGTCTGTGTCCGTGTTCGTGACTGTCTGCCTTCTTGCCTATTGGATCGCTCGCCCGCCCGGCTCCCCGTCCGTCCGTGAGTGTGTCCGTGTTTGTCTGTGTTTGTCTGCTTCTGTCTGTCTGGCCGAGACGCACACTGAAAGGAATGCACTTGTTTGGTAGTTCATCCCGCGTTGGTGTTTGTCTGTGTCTGTATGGCCGAGACGCACACTGAAAGGAATGCGCCTGTTTGGTGTCGCGGGTGGTGATCGCGGGGCCATCTTGGCGCCCACAGCTAGGCGCATGCATGGCTGCTTTGCCTTTTGCAGCTTGGCCAGCGCTAGGTCATGCAGATGGACATCAAGGACATTCTCAACAAAATGCCGCTTGGAAGCATCGCCGTGGGATTCAGGATGACCAACTCAGTTGTTCAGTGAACCCTTTTCCCCTTTTTTTATTTTATTTTTTGGGGTGGCCGCCCCACTAAACATGGTCTTCCCCAAAAAGGGTTCCTTTTTTTCCAGGGTCACTGAACAACTGAGCCTAGCTCTGGACAAATCGATCCGCCCCAGCAAGTGCCCATGATCGCAGTTTTACACTGCACCATGGGCCGTACTCGGTGCGTAGATGTGGAGCTAGAACACGGGCCCCGTTCGCGTTTGAGCGAACATGAAAAAAAAGGCATGCAGCTGTAGCATGGCCACGTCGCTGAGCACAGGCAAGGTTTGTTTTTTTGAGGACCCTTTCAACTTGGTGGGGAACCAAAAAGGGAATCCCCAAATGACCTTGCATTCCTCCTGTCTTGGGAGTTCCTCGCATTCCTTGCACCCGTGTTTGGCTGTCTTCTGCAAGGGGCAAGGCAGACCCTCGTTGCCCTTCCGACCTCCACGTAGAACCAGGCAATCCCCCGCCAAATTTGGTGAAGTCCATCGGCTGATCTTCCCCTCGCGTTTTGAACTCCGAGGATTTGGGTGGTGGGCACTTCGGAGGACTTGCGGGAGAAGAAGCCCCGCAACAGCGGCCGGGTTTCCACCCACTCCAACCGCCCCTCCATCCGCAACTCCGGCGTCGAGGAGCGGGGCCTCTTGCGGGCCTCGGAACGCTCCGACTTCGGCTTCTGCTGAGACCTGCTGGAGTTGGCAACCTTTTGACCTGTTTCTTGGCAGATTTCTTCCTCATGTTTTAGTCACGGCCCTAAAAGTGGAAACTTCTTTTGGCTGGCCCACTCAGCTGGCCCAACTCTGGTCAGGAGAGGAGGTTGCGAAGTCCGCTTCCGGTGAGATAGAAACCGACAGAGGCTGAGAGCGGCTCGTGTTTTTCTTTGGGCTAGAAAAGTGCCATAGGCTTTTGGTTCAGCTTGGAAAGGTGGGCTCTGGACGTCGTTCTTCGGGCTTGCTGAAATCAACGCAAAGCTTTGCACGAAGTGCATCGGCTTGGAAGAGGCCCTTCCAAGAGGTGTCAACAGACGCCGCCATCCCAAGACGGCTTCCACTTGCGGTTCCTTGGAATCTGGAGTAGGTTTCCTGGCAGCCCCCCTCTGTTCTGATGGGATCAAAGACCAAGCGGAAAAGAAAAACAAACGCCCTCAGTGCCTTGCTGCTGAGGGTGTCAAGTGGGGGGCTGCAACCAATCCACATCGGCCATAGTCAAAAGTCAACAGACCAAACAACGAGTCAAGCGTGCAATGGCTGGAGTATCAGGATCTATGAAGCAGCGACTCCTTGCCGTCTGGTCAGATAGAGTTTTGACGGCACTGTGGTTCGCCTGACTGGTCCGTGCGGTTCTTTCGGCCCTTCAGGGTTTTTTGCTTGCAGCAAGGGGCAGGCCAAATTCATTCTCTCTTGGCCTGGGGCCTCAGGGCCCCAGGCCACTGCGTGGTGCATCGAATTCGATCCTTGCGAGGAAGTTTTTCAGCATCTCCAAGAGATGTGACGCTTGTCCTCCGCCCACCCGAGGCTGGGCTCAGTTTTGGCAGCTGAGGGCTGCTGCGCCGCGGTTGGGAAGCTTCCAGCCTGCGCTGCGGAAGCGCGAGACGCCGCGAGACTGCGACAAAAGCTGAGGTCGCAGACATGGATCCAGAGCGCGCCGGTCGCATGCGCTGTTGAGCCAAGGAGCCCTCCGCTTGAAGTCAAGTTGGGAGTGTCTTTGGCACCAACTTGCGAAAGAGATGCCCAGGAATAATGTTTCAAGGGCATTCAAGGGCTACTTTGTGCACTTGCGCGTGGTGTGAGAAGCTCCTTGTGCATGGTTTTGGCGGCTCGAGAGCTGACGCGTCAAGTCATCTCCCTTCAGCTGGAGAACCCAAGAGGCGGCAACTCCCTTCAGCTAACGAAACGCGTTGAACCTTAGGATATGCTGGGCCGCATTTTCTCTCACCAGTCAAGAAGTATTATCACACTCTAAAATCCATTGGATGGTGGTGGATGATATATATATATATATCTATAGATACCGTAGATGGACAACATCCACGTTGCGCCAGGCCGGTGGTTTATCCACCAGTCGTCAATTCAGTTTTTCATCCATCCCAACTGCACATTTCATCCCCTCAAACTGGCACAACAGCCCCGGCGCGCCACCTGCGCGCGGAAAAAAGATGGCGCAGCTGTACCGAGAGGCAGGGCGCGTCGTGGAGGACGCGGCGAAGCAAAGCCAAGCCACATGGATGAATATGTCTTCGGGGCAGGCAACGGCCCAGTCAACTTGAGTTGTGTGGGCACGAAACCTTAAATGAGCCACAATCAAAACCCAGGTAGATGAAGGTTGGTAAGGGACAATCCCAACCATAAATAGCTGCGGCCGCCTTCTTACATGGCTCTGGGTAGACCAAATTAGCACCGGATTTTAACTATGACTCAAATCCAGTTGGTTAGGTTGAACCTCTTCCAAGGAATCCTTTGGGACGCCAACAGCCTGTGTTTGAAGCAAGATGCACAGGTTTAAGCCATAAATGGCTTTGCTATTCAGGTAGCCCTTACTGAGGCCATTGGCCTTACAAGGATTGCAGGCATCATTGCGCTGCACTCATGCCTCCCCAGCATCGCTAGCATCGTCAGCATCAGCACCATCCACATTAGCCAGCATCACCAGCAACACGGCAACAGCAGCACCAGCACCACCAACATCAGCACCATCAACATCACCACCCAACAGGACCAGCACTACCACCAGACCACAGGCCAAGGCAATGTGCCTCCAACGGTTTTGATTCACACGCTGACATCTTTTTCTGTCCAGGTGTGCTTCATGCTCTTGAAGAAGGTCCAGTAAGCCAAACCGGGAAAGTTTGCTCCAGCTCACGCAAGAAACGAGCAGGATTTGAACCACCGACCGAAAAATGCGGCTGTGCCTCCACACCTTTGCCCCAACCTCCTAGAACGCGCGCAAGATCCCCGCCCCGCAGGAGGTCTCGCGGGGGGTTGGCTTCAAGGCCGCCCTCTACGGCGCCTCGGCTCGCGCGGGATGCGACCCGCGGGCCGTCTGCAAACTGGCGGCGCAGGCGTTGAAGAGGCGCCGGGACTTGGAGCAGGCGCTGAGGCGCGGGGAAGGGACTCGGAGGGGTGGGGGGGGGGGAAGGGGTGGGGGGGGGGGTTGAGTGGTTGAGTGGGGGGCCTGGTCGAGGGTGTACACAAATCTGTGTTTCTAGGTATATATGCATATCTCTAAGACAGACATGTATATATATATATAGAGAAAGATAGAGATAGATATGTGTGCATTGTGTGAGAATGAGTGTGTGTGTAGGGGCTCTTATTATCTTTTTATTTTATGAAGTTGTTTTTGTTTGGGGGGATGGGATGGGGGTTTTGCTGGGTGATGTAGGGGGTGTATCAGAACTGTTTGTGGCTGGGCGGGGAAACCAGCAGGCGGGTGGGGCGGCAACCAAAGGGGCCCCCTGTCAGGTATGTTCATTGGTGGGGTGTAACGGTTTGGCTCAGTTGGGGATTTGGAACCCCAAGTTTTGGCAGGGGAAGCAGCTTGCCGCAGCGTTCTATTTCGGCACCTAAATGTCTACGCGGCCGTAATCCGAGGTCTTGTGGTGAATCAAGAAACTTGAGAATTCGGAGGGCTGAAACGCAGTCGGGGCTTCCCTGTGAGGCAGTGCGGCCTGGATTGTGGCGGCCTGCTGCTTGTCATGGCACCTCAGTTGCAGGTTTGTCAGGTGATTTGGTTCTTGGTTGATTCGGCGGCCCGGGCCATGGTGGCCAGGAAGTGATGTGTTCCTCAAGTTGCTGCTTCATGGGACCTTTGCCGGGCAGTTTACGGATACGAATTGAAGGAATCTTCTCTTGCCGAATCTGGCGGCGCCTCCTTCCGTCTGAGTCCTGCTGGGGGTTACGGATGCTCTTCTGACAGATTCTCTTTTCAGATCTCCGTCTGACAGAGCGTTTGCATCGGAGACACATCAGTGGCATCGATTGTTGCCAGGCTCGCTGATGCTTTTCAACTTGTGGTCATTCACTGGAAGCCAGGTCTTAGTTCAACACAGCCTTCTTGTTGCTAGGCTGCGGGAGGCGCAGTGTAGAACATTCATTTCATTTCACTTTGGCCGTTTGGTCGCTGTCGCAAAAAAGCATCCCCTTTGGTCTCGGGATGCCAGGAATGGTTCATCACCTTCGGTCCATGGCTTTGCTTGAGACCGCTCCACTACCGCCACTACCCCCGAGCCACTGCCCCAGGAATAGCAACAGGGTTCCCTTTTGGTTATGCACACATACACACACTATATTTATATATATATATGTGTGGTGTGTGTTTGTTTGTGTTTGGGTGTGTGCGTATGTGTATATAAATGCATGTGTATCTACATATATAAATATACATATATATATATATATAAACAGAGAATTCATGAACAAATTCATGCACATATACACATGTGCCATGCAACCATAGATATGATGTACATATGCCTCCTTCTGCCCGAAGCCTTCCAAGGCCTACGATCTTCTGCTGGGCCGCGGCTTGAAAGGCGGGGGCCTGCTGTCGCGCCAGCTCCGTGAGAAGCGTCCACAGCTTCAAGCCGCGCTGGCGGCAGATGAGGAGGCGCCCCTCTGGCGACTCAAAGGGGCCACTTCTCTACTGCTATTGGGTTGGATCTTTAGACTTTAACTTTTTGGATTCTCCTCATATTTTTCCTTTTAACCAGCAAACAGTTTGACTTTTTGCTGGGGGATCTACAGCACCCAAGATTTGTGGCACCCAAGTTGGACCCAGCAAGTGGGGGCTCTTTCAACATGGGAACCCCAAGATGGCTTTGGGTTTCCCTGCGGCTTTCCTTCAGCCCAAAAAGGGTACTGAAAAGATGACATGCCCTATGGAGCTAACATTGGCTGAATATGCGGTCAACCCCAACATGTGCGACTTTCTGGGTCCAAGTTTGGCCCCGAGAGACAGACAGGGAGACGGGGCGGCAGAGGGGGCGGGAGAGTGTTGAACAGGGTGCCCCAAATCTCCGCTTAAAAGGTGGGTGCGTTTTCTTTAGTGCTCTTTTAAGCACTCCCGTTTGGTTTGCCTTAGGGGCTGCTTGTTGACACACTCTTTGGGCACGACTTGCTTGGACTTCCCTCTTTTTGACTTTTTGATTCCCAATGCAAATCCTTGTTGAAACAGACTGACGTTTTCGTAATTCATTCGACCTGTAGGTTCGTAGGTTCAGCTTCCCTCTGGTGGTTTGGAGATGTTCCGGGCTGGTTTCCCCTGTGCCCTCTACAGCCAGGGACCCCTTCAAATCCACACCCAGACCATCCAAAGCGCCAGTTGCCTGAGAAGTCACCCCTGGTTCTTGTAGAGGGAACATGGGAAGCATAACCACCAAACCACCAAACTACCAAACCACCAACAAAGGTGGGAAGCTGAATAACTGAATTGTCAGGACCACGCAATGGACATCCTCCGGCCAATCCAAAGGCACCAAGTAAGGGTTACCAAACAACAAACCAAACCAAACCAAACCAACCCAACCCAACCCAACCCAACCCAACCCAACCCAACCGACCCAACCAATCAACCAAAGCCCCAGTTCCCCAAGAAGTCCGTCAGGATGGATGTGAAATGGACGTCCTCCCGCGCTATGTGCGGGTCAACCGCCTGAAGACGAGCGCCGCCTCGCTGAAAGCCAGGCTGCAAGCAGCCCTCCAGGCCAGCTTTGCTTTTGCTCGACGGATGCGCCGCGCCCAGTTGGGTGCTCCCCCCCCTCAAATGGGTATGGCTCAAAAAACCGGAACTCCAAATGGCTTGCCCTGGCAAGTGGAACATGGACCAAAACCTGCGTAACCCTAGCTCTTCAATTTTGAGCCACTGCCAAATGCTGGCTTTCTCTGTGGTTTGTCTTTAAGAATCCCCACTGAAAAGGGGTAATTACCACCAAAAAAGAGATATCAAATATCATGTTGCACTACTTGTCACTTGTGCATGCATGATGTACACTACCCGACTGCAGGCCTTGAGTCTACCAGGAAAAGAGTGCATGCTGGCTGACTACATTTGTGTTTGTGATAACTGAACAACAACACTTGCACTAGAAGTAAAGTATCAACGTATTTTAACGTGGTAGCGGAGCTGAGATCCTAAACATAGGGGAGCTCCAGTAACAGCAGTAAGTACTACAACTGCACAGGCAACCAACATGCCCAACTACTACGGCATGTCAGGAGAACCAGCAGCAGCATCAGCACAACCAACTACAGGAGCAGACAACGGGCCCACAGCAGAAGAGACAATAGGAGCCACAACTACGGGAACAACACAGGAGCAGGAAGACGTCCAAAGGCTACACAAATACAAACTGCCACCACCGTTCTTCACTGGTGACTACTCACAGTATGAAGAGTGGCTGTTCAAACTACAAGCATATCTCGGACTTATCGACCGAGACTTCGACATGGTGCTACAACTAGCACAAGCAGCTACAAGACAAATTGAAGATGCAGACATCAGAGCACACAGACGCGACCCTACACAGGCAGCAAAAGCAGTAGACCTCTCACGAGATCTACACTACATCCTCATCAACATCTGCCAAGGAGCAGCAGCTACAGTGGTTAGACAAAACCGCTACAATGCCAATGGATGTGAAACACTACGGCTTTTGCGCAACAGGTTCAGCCTACCAGTGGGAACACGCAGTGTTGGCGACCTCACCAAACTACTGGAACCTACATTCAATGAAGCACAATTTGAAGAACAATTCCTACAGTGGGAATACGACATCAACCGCTACGAGAAAGACAAAGGCACAGCACTACCAGATGGAGTAAAGATTGCAATACTACTCAACAAGACCAAAGGAGCACTCCAACAGCATCTCCAACTACGTGCTGGACAGATCACGAACTACAACGAGATCAGAGTTGTCATCCTGGACTACTACAAAACCATCTCTGCATTCTCAAGAGCGAGCTCAGCAGTTGGCACAAACTACAATGGTGGGACAGCACCGATGGACGTGGACAACATTTGGAGAAAAGGAAGAAACTACAAAGGCAAAGGCAAATATGGAGGCAAAGGACACTACAAAGGAAACAAAGGAAAAGGTAAGTACAGAAGCAAAGGCCACTACAAAGGATTCGACAAAGGCAGCAAAGGAAACTACAACAAAGGAGGATACAACAAGAACAAAGGAAAAGGCTACTCAGGATCCAAAGGACATGGATCAAGCAAAGGCTACAAAGGCCAAGGAAACTACAGCAAATCAAAAGGAAAAGGAAACAACAATTACACAACATGCCATCGATGTGGCAAACCAGGCCACTGGGCACAAGACTGCAGAGTGCCAGTATGGCACATAGGAGAAGGAGAAGAACTACATCCACTAGAACAAGAACAAGCAGATCACGACAACAATGAAGAACTACCTCAGGATGTGAACGACACTTGGGACTGGTACTACGAAGGAGAAGAAGGACAACACGAGGTGAACTACATGGAGGAGAACTGGAACGACTACGACTATGACAACAGCTGGGATTGGAATGACAACAGCTATGAGGACACTGCAAACTACATTGGAGGCATCAACGAGTCACACCTCACAATTGGACACATCAGACAAGCAAACTCACGACTACACAAGCACAAATCCAAATCACTACTTGGCAAGAGAACAACACACACAACATCATGGAACGACCACAGCAAGAGCTTTCAACAATTCCTACAAGAAGACAACACACAGCCACACTTTGATATAGCAGCAGCCAGACAACAACAAAGGAACAAGAAGATTGAGAACACTATCACACACTACATCATGTACTCCAACTTCAAGTCATACCACCACCTGCTGATCGACTCAGGAGCGTCTACACACGTTTGCCCGAAGGACTACGCACCAGACCTACCGCTACGACCTTGTGGAGAATCGGTTCCACAACTCTACACGGTTACCAACAAGAAGATTCCTGTCTACGGCATCAAGTACGTTCCCTACAAGCAGGACAACTTCAGGATCATGATACCCTACTACGTTTGTGATGTGAAGTGCCCAATCCTCAGTGCATCAAGACTACTTGATAGAGGATATGGACTTGACTTCACTCCACGACACTGCACCATCACACATGGACAACAACAAGCACACCTCATCAGACACTCAGGACTTTTCTACCTACGAGCAGAGAAGATCGACATTGTTCTTGCTCTTGCCCTTGTCTGTTGATGATGGTTAGTCGCAAATCATCTAGTTCTTCTTCAGGTATTGGGCAACCACTGTTGTGTGGTGTGAATAGTGCTTTGCGTGGTCGTTTGTGTACTCTGATGGCGTAGTCACCATCAAGTTTCCAGTAGTCAGTGTTTCCACCAAGGATCTGTCGTAGTCCTTGGTCTGTGTGTGTGAGTGGTGCGATTTGTTCTTGTTGTTGTGCTGCTCTCTCTGTAGGTTGAATCACAGCAATGGATTTTCCACTGTCTGTAGTCATTGGATAGATGTCGAATCCTGTAGGGAAACTACAAGAGAACCCAACACAACTTTCCAAGCAAGAACTACAACGAAGACTAGAAGGTGACAACTGGACTGGAGAAACCAGATTCAGAAGAAAGATGACACCTACACGCAGAGCAACATCAAAGACAACACCAACAAGGCAGAGCTCACAACCACAACGGCTAATGGACACACCACCAACCAGATCAAAGATCCAACTACGAGCACCACAAAAGATATGGAGACCTAAAGCAGCACCTTCTACAAATCTTGACACCGCACAACCAAAGGAGACAATCCACAGACCACTCACAGCACAGGAGGACAACCAAGACTACTGGGAAAGACAAGGTGAACACTGGATAAGACACCACACATCACTTAGAACAACTCTATTCACTCCAACAGATGGACCAGGACATCCACCAATCAGCACACTCGAACCTCACAGAACTACAATCACTCACAACAACTTTGGAGAAGTTTCCCAACGCAAAGATGACTGGACAGTCATGGGCAACGCAGCACTACCATTTCAATGGAAAGGAACAACAAGGTTCACCGTGAAGAAAGACTACGAGTACATCCAGGAGAACCACGATGAGGAACAACAACACGAGCATCATGAAGCACACAGAGCAATAGGACTACGACAACCTCAGCAGCCCACTCCACAACAAATAGCAGAACACAACTTGACACACCTACCATACAGAAATTGGTGTCCAATTTGCGTTCAAGGCAAAGGACGCCAGGACAACTACAAGAAACAACAATCACGACAACCCATCATCCAAGTGGATTTTGCCTACATCAAATCACAACAAGATCCGAAGACCATACCAGTCTTAACGGCAGTTGATGTTACTACACAACTGTGCATGGCGGTATTGGTTCCGGACAAGCCATCAATGATGGACTACATGATCAACAACCTACAAGCATTCATCTTTGAATGCGGAAGAACACACGGCATACTACAAAGCGACAACGAAGACACACTCAATGCACTACTACAAGCAACAGCATCTAAAGTCGGCTCAATGACTGTACGACATTCACCATCCTACAGCAGCAACAGTCAAGGAAGCGTTGAGCGACTACATAGAACACTTCTCGGACAAATCCGCGTCGTCAAAGCTCAGGTTGAAAGCAACTACAGCATGACGATGTCCACAAAGCACTGTCTACTACCTTGGATAGTACGACACGCAGCATGGACGGTAAATCGCTACGTCATTCACTCAGACGGCTACACAAGCTTCGAACGCCGCTGGGGAAGAAACTACGAGCGAGCAATCTGCGAATTTGGCGAGACACTACTCTACCTTCCACCACAACACAAGAAACTCCCAAAAGCAGACCTACGGATGCAGAAATGCATCTGGCTCGGAAAAGTTTCCGAAACCGGAGAAAACTACGTCGCAACGGAGTCAGGCGTACAAAAGGTACGAACAGTGCGGAGACTACAACCGGACTTCAAATACGACCTCGCACTATTGAACAAAGTTTCCGGCACACCGTGGGCACCACGACGGAACAGCTACAACCCATCGTTCGCAACACTGTTGGATGCGCAACTACCACCGTCAGAGAGAAGAAGGTCCACGCAAGATTTCGGACAACAAACGAACGCTACGGACGACATCGTTGCGGAACCCGCAACAAAACAACAACGCACCACACCACCTCCACGACTTCCGCCAACATCGACGTCAAGTTCACGACCACTACCGGATAGTCCGATGGCTACTTCACCAACCGGACGACAACATCCACCACTACCAGCACCACCTCGACAAACACTACGACGTTTAACTCCGGAAGAAGTAATGCAACCCACTAAAGCACAGAAGACCTCAAAGGACACTACAATCAGATCAACGGAGCAAGCAACCAAAGAACCACCACCACTACGACAGAAAATTAACGCAGTGACACTTCCCAACGGCAAATTCATCACACCCTACACAAACGACGACACCTCAGAAGACCAACCCATAATCTTCGACAACGAAGGTTACGACGAAACACAACTACTGGAAGGAATGAAACACGAGTCAAACCAAATGAAGCTACATGACGTCTACGACGAAGTAGATGCGTCTACCGTCGACGACAACGTCATAAGAGAAGCGATACCTACAAGATGGGTACACAGAAAGAAAGGACCAGGAGTGCGAAGTCGAATCGTCGCAAAAGGCTACACAGAGAAGATCGAGGACGAAGACTCCGTCTACGCCTCTACACCAATGTTCACGACACTCCGGACACTTCTCGCACTACAAATGTCACGACCAAACTGGATAGCGCGACTAGGCGACGTCTCTACAGCATTTCTACACGCACCCATCGCAAAAGACCACGACGGTAAACAACGTGACGTCTACCTTTGGCCACCTAAAGAACTTTGTCCACAACAGGACAAAATCTGGCGACTAAAGAAAGCCATGTGTGGACTACGCAGTTCACCAAAAGCATGGCAGGACTACCTGGCTGAAGTGTTACAAAAGCTCAGCTTTGTAAGACTAAAGTCAGAACCTAACGTCTACACCAATGCAACTCGCGACTGCTACATCATGGTCTACGTGGATGATCTCTTGGTACTTGGTGACAAGACTACTGTCGACTCCACCTTCGAGGCCATCCAGAAGCAGGTCCTACTCAAGCACATCGGCTACCTCGAACCTGGCAAACCACAACAATTTCTTGGAAGAAACATCGACCACTTCGGCAACTACTGCAACCTGGGACTAAAGGACTCCTACATCGACAACATGATCGAGGAGTCTGGAATGAACAACTGCAACCCAGTGAACACTCCAGGAATTGCACACTACAAACCGACAATAGAAGATGAAGCACTACTTGACCACGAACAACACAAAAGGTACAGAAGGATTGTTGGCAAACTACAATGGTTAGCATACACACGACCAGACATCGCATACTCCACAAAAGAACTAGTACGAGACCTCACAGCACCTACAGAACTCTCACAAAAGAGAGTCAAACATCTACTACGTTACTTGAACGGCACCAAGCACTACAAATTCACCATAGAACCAACAACAACACTCACTCCATGGGATGAGATGAACGTAGCAACGAAGGTGACGCTACGAAACGTAAGGTCGGGGGATCCGACTCAGAGCAAACACTAACAACATCCTGGATCTCGACGTTCATGTCGATGCCGACTGGGCAGGATGCCCTACTACCAGGAACATCATCTTTTTAGGAACAACAGTTGCATTTGGCAGCAGAACACAAGCTACAATAGCACTCAGCTCAGCAGAGTCTGAACTCCACGCCATTTGCACAGGAGTCAATGAGGGACTACACCTCAGAAACTTCCTACTTGAAACCAAGATTTGCAGCAAGCTAAATCTACGCATCCACACAGACTCCACAGCAGGCAAGAGCATTGCTACACGACAAGGCACTAGCAAACGAGCAAAACACATCGACCTTAAATTTCTCTACACACAAGACCTCATCAAGCAGGACATCATCAGAATTCTCAAAATCAACACACTACACAACAGCTCAGACTTGTTCACAAAATACATTAGCAAAGAAACACTACAGAGGCTCATACAGAGCATTGGCATACGTGTTTAGCACTACGAACAACAACTGTTTCACAACTGTTGCACATCAATCACAACAGTTTGTATATGGCCATATGTAACTACCTGCATTTAAGTAACAGTAACAGTAACAGTAACAGTGACTACAAGTAATAGTAATTGTAACCACCAGTAATTTGCACTTGCACTTTTGGCCGCTTTTGGCGGCTTGAGTCAACACTACATGTTGTTTTGTGTTTTACTACATGCCCGCATGTGCTTTTGTGAGCTAACATTGGCTCACTACTGTCTGCCCCGTTTCACTGCATCTCGATAGGCCGAACTACCAGCAATGGCTGGAACTACGCCCATGGATGCGACTACGCTGGATGTCATGCCGATGGAGGTTACTACATCAGCGCCAGAGACTACTCTGCCCGTCGAACAACAGGCTGGCAGTACTACACCGGACCGTGGTTTTACACCACCGGATCGGCAGGGCACTACCGACTCCGGCAGCATGGCTACTTTGGCCACTCCACCACCTGAGGCCTACAACTCCCTCAACTACAACTTCAACCACCAACTACCCACACCGGCACCTTTCTACAGACCCGACGACATCTTGGCACACCTCACTACAACTGAGAACAACATCCCCGACACTCCAGCGATCGACCCGGAGCAGAACTACTTCAGGGTCTGCGCGGCTTTGACGCTCGAGGAGTTCCAACTACTAAGTCAACAACAAACTACACCCATCCCCGAGCTCAACTACAACCTACCTACGACTCACTACCTCTTCACCTACGTCTTTCAGAGGCAGTCAACTTCTACTACTACAACCTTACATCACTACACCTCACAACCCAGTACACACACTCGAAGGTCATCATCCAACTACACATTCCACCAGAAGTTCTACTACGATTTGTCAGCTCGTCAACTTCTGCCGCGACTACGTGAGCCACATGATTTCCATCAAAGATGAGCACCACCTACCTACACGCCAGCTACATCAACGACTACACCGAATCACCTACAACTTGGACCAGATCACCAGTACATTCAACCTGTCCAACAACTTCATTTGGAACTATCACATGCCCCTGTACCTACCAGAACTACTCAACTACTTCGACCAACCACAACAACTTCAAGACCACCACTACAAGTCCATCAACACGATGCTACGCAAGAGTGTCACCTACTACGGCATCACCCTCCTCACGGCTACAAATCTTTCCATGCAACACAAACTACTACTCCACAACTACCTCACTACCACCGGCCAAGCACTTGCACCACCGGAATGCGACTACAACCGCCTTCGTGGCGGTCCAGACTTCCTCAACACATTCACTACCAACCACTATGCAGGCTTGGACTACCGCATCAGCCAAGTCCAGAACTACCGAGTCCAACACTGGACTAAGCACACCTGATCTCCAGGTGGAGCTGCAACTACGTGCTGTACTACGTCATCGTACTACGAGATGACTGAGAACCAACTAGGGAAACAACTAGGGTTCTTGTACAGCAATTTCACTTTTCTGATCATTTGAAGGTTAGTTGAACTACAGACAGCAGCGCTGTAGATACCTACCTTCGGTCATCTTTTTTAAGAGACTACATGCCTGTTCGCTACAGTAGCATCGGCAAACAACATGTGCATTCGTTTTTTGCCACTACTGTCAATACCACCTTTTGGGTCTATGGTTAAAGGACACTACAAGGTCTTTTAACCAAGGGGCCGTGTCAAATATCATGTTGCACTACTTGTCACTTGTGCATGCATGATGTACACTACCCGACTGCAGGCCTTGAGTCTACCAGGAAAAGAGTGCATGCTGGCTGACTACATTTGTGTTTGTGATAACTGAACAACACTTGCACTAGAAGTAAAGTATCAACGTATTTTAACGAGAGAGAGAGAGAGAGAGCCATTTGGGTTTGTCCATGTTTTTGGACGGGCAGCCCCTTGTTTTACGGCTTTAAATGGAAAGCGGAGCGGACAACTGAAGACATTGTGAGGTCCCCCTGAGAACGACACACCTGCCAAAAAGGCTGCGCTGTTTTAAAGAAAAGCGCCAGACTGGTGGTTAAGGAGGGCCAAGGGCGGCCATTGCCTTCAATGCCTTGAGGAAAACAGAGGTTGGTTACAAGAAGTTGCTAGCACCAGGGTTTGCAACGGGTGGCTAAGCCCCACTGATTGATCGCAAGAAGGGGGGGGGTCTGGGGGTTATCCCCAATAACTGCGTGGGGGTCGAGAAAAACACAGCAGTGGTTTCTTCACTGTTCTTAGCATGCTTTTTGCTTTGTTGTTGTTGTTGTTGTTGTTTGGCTCTGTTCATTTTATATAGTGGGCTGCAAAAACAAAGAATGATTGTTGCTACCATACTGCTGTGGGTGGACACGAATCATTTCGCATTAGTTCGGATAGTGAAGCCCTATGAATACTGGGCCGGCTGGTGCGTTCCCCCATCCACAGTACCAAGCTTTGGTAATAGCTTACGTCTTTGCATTGTTATCCTAAAAACAAGCAAGATAAACACAAGTTTGTTGGCAGTAGCTGGTGGTTGGAAGGGAGACAAGGTATCGATTTTTTCTTTTATGGAGGGAGCCTTTCGGAGATGCCAGGAGTCCTGTGAGCATATGGTAGGCTACTTCCTGAATCGCCAGGCCCAGCTGGAGTCAAGCCGGAACGGAAAGCTGGAGCTGGCGGAGGTTCAGGAGACCCCATGGCGTGGATTGCGATTTGGGTATCGCTTTTGTTTCTTCTTTTATGTTGTGCGTGGTTGTTTGATTGTTTGATTGTTTGATTGTTCATTTAAAAACAAAAACAATGTTTGTTTGTTTGTTTGTTTGTTTGTTTGTTTGTTTGTTTGTTGTGTTTGTGTTTGTTTGTTTGTTGTGTTTGTGTTTGTGTTTGTGTTTGCGCTTGTGTTTGTGTTTGCGTTTGCGTTTGTGTTTGTGTTTGTGTTTGTGTTTGTGTGTGTGTGCGTGGTTGTTTGTTTGTTTGTTTGTTTGTTTGTTTGTTTGATTGATTGATTGATTGATTGATTGATTGATTGATTGATTGATTGTGTTGTTGAGTCCGCCCAGGTTTCCCCTTGGCAGGCGAGCGGGAGCCCTTTTCTATCAAAAAGCGTCCCAGTCCTAGTGCTCGCTTTGGATTTGTTCCATGTGATTTCTTGTCTTAGTCCTCAGCACCTTTTGGCGCCAAGCTTGGCTTGACGGCTATGAACTCAGGGGAATTACCTCCCATGCATGCAGTTGTTGGAGATGGGTGTGGCTCCAAATTTAAGAGCCAGGGTTACGCAGGTGTTGGTCTTTGTTTCCATTTACCTCCGCTTACCTATGGTTTTTGAGCCACAGCCATATGAATCCCTACATGATGTCCACCAGTGGGCCATTGAACGAGAATGTGACATCTGGATGCGCCTCTGGGCACCTCGATTTCGACGCCTTCAGCTCGGCTTGGCATGGCTATCCGGAGCCGTGGGGTATCTCTCGGATGCTGAAGCAGGTTGGGTCCTTTTCCTTGATCCGAAGACTTGCGAACAAGAGGATGCATAGTTGGTTTCTCCCGTTGGCGTGAGGGAATGTGCCTGTGCCAAGCTAGAAACGGGGATCTTGCAGGGAATAGGGATGCCACCCATGGAATTTGTCAGCAGCCCAGTGCAAGCATGGCCGGGCAATGACTAACTGGCTCCCACACGGTCAGCTTCAAGCAGGCTGACATCAGAACAAAGCCCAGCAAAGGCCAAACCGCTTTTCACACCTCAAGGCTCTCCCAGCCTCAGTGCTAAGATCTAAGGGAAGGGACCGGAAAGCCTCGAAACATCGAGCGGCCCAAACCAGGCGATCTTTACGAAGCATCGTTTTCCCCGCAAGTAAGAGAAGGTATTGCGTAAACGGGGGTATCCCCAAGACTCCCCAAACAATAGCTTTCCAACATCAACAGGTTAACCCCCCCCCCCCACCAAAACTGGGGAGACCTGGCGTTCCAACATCAACAGGCCCCCCCCCCCCCCCAAGCAGGGCAGCCCCAAACCGTAGACGGGGAGACCTGATTTCCGCGTGGGCTTCAAATCGCGCATCTCCGTGTCGGTTGTCGGCGTTGGGTTCCAGGAGGACCCGCTGGTGCCGGACCTGCTGGTGCTGCACGCTGAAGCGCGGAGCTTCTTGCAGAAGCTCCCGGAGGTGGCGACCGGGGAGGCGGTTCTGCAGGACACGATGCGCGGCCGGGGGGAGTTCGGGAAATCTGTGGCCGTGGTGGTCAAAACCGTTTTGGGGTCGCATTTTGGGGTAGGTGCACCAACCATTTTGTTTTTATTTGAAGTGGTTGGATTGGGTCAACACCAATGGTTGTGGGTAGGTCAACACCAATGGTAGCATTCTGGGGTAGGTGAATTCACCACCCAATTTAGAACCTATTCTAGTGGTTGGATTGGGATGCTTACTGGGGGTACGATTTGGGTTTTGACCCATAGCCATTTGTGGCCATTTGGGGCTCTGAATGGCTGAATTTTGGTTTTCTCGTCCCTCGAAGGGCTATGAGTCAAACTGAAACCAGACCGCAGGTGGTAGTCTTTGGCTCGATTTGCCAAGCCATTTTGGAATTCCAATTTTTGATCAGCCACATGCACCCCTTGGACCAAGAGCGTTTGGACAAAGGTCTGGACCAATGGATTCAACGCACATTCCAACGCTTGCTTGCTGGGTGCACTAATTGACATGTTCAAGGCTCAAGATCTAAGTGTTTCAGTAAAAGGTCGGTTCTAGTTGGGGGGTTGCTACCACGGGATTTGCTCTGACTTTTGGCCTGGATCCTTCACGCCAAAGGCCCGACTTGGGGCCCGTAGGACCGGTCCAGCTGCCTGGCGGCTCTGGCGGCGGGCTTGACCCCGGGCACTTTCTGCCTGGACGCGTGCGCAGCCCCGGGCAGCGCCATGGTCGAAGTTACGGATGGGGTGCCGAGGGGTTGGGGCTTCTCAAAATGGTGGACCACCTTTTGGCTGGTTAAAAACCAGGGAAACCAGGGGGCACATCCATCTTGGAACTTGCCCCATGCCCCGCACCTTTTGCCAAGTTTGTGCCGCCTGGTGCGAGAGATGCAGGGAATGAGACATGGAATGACCCCGAGAAGAACCGTCCAAATGGTGGTTTCCTTTCCCAAAACAGTTCATTCCATTTCTCACGCCCTGCCTATCGCGCCAGCAAGTTTGAACTGCCTTCAGTCAGAGAGCCTCCAGTTGAACCAGGAGTCGGAACCCCTCAACATGGCGAGGGTCCCATGACTTTTCCCCCGCTTCCGCCGTTTCCGCTTAGAATCACCCCAAAGGAACTCAGCAACGTCTTGGCCGCAGCGTCCCCGCAAAGGGGCCCTCAAAAGACGGCTGGGCGGTTTCCCTTTGCGCTCGCCAGTTCCAACAAAGCCTGGCATTCCATCGCCAGATTTTGATGTCACGAGGGTGATTTACCTTAGGCCCCGGACACCGTTTCTATTCCAAAGACGGCATTTTCCGTATTCTTCCGTGAGACGTGTTCTCAGGTTACCCTCAATTAATCCAACCCACGAAAGCAATCCAAACCACCAATTCAAAGACTAAGACTCATATGTTGCACTCCACGTTTCTCTTTTTTGGCATGTTTTGCCATGAGACGTGGTGGTTGTTCCTTGCGTCTCGCAGGCAAGACCTGCCACGCTGTGGAGGTGCTGGGCCGGGGCCGGCTCATCGCCTGCGAGCGCGACGAGCAGCGCGCGGGGGCGCTGCTGCGGCGGCTGAAGGGTCTGGTGAGTTTCAGGGAAGGCGGGGAGGGAGGTGGGGAGGGAGATGGCGGATGGGGTGGGGGTAGGATGGGTTGAGGTGGGGTGAAGGTTGGGTGAATGATAGGTGAAGTGGGCGGTGAACAGTGGGTTGACGTGGACGGTGAATAGTGCGTTGAAGTGGGGTGAATCGTGGGGTGAGGTGGGGATGAATGTTCGGGGAAAGTTAAGTGGGCTGAGGTGGCGTGAAGGTGAGGTGAAGTGGGGTAGCTGGGGATATGAGGGATGCGCCTTCTCTGCACCGAGCATCCGGAGGCGCGACGGCCCCGGCTGAGAGCACTTGCTTGGCGGCCGGCCAAAAGGCGCAGAGCACACCATGGGCTCGGAGGGGCGGTCTCGTGTCAGAAGGTTTTCGGAAGGCATGTTAAAACCCGGCAGTGGGAGCACCAGACGCAAGGTGCGTGCTAGAATCTACGGCTTTCTCAACAGATGCACGCCGTATTGTGCTTAATTAGTGTTTCCAGTTTGAGGCAAATTTGGTCACGCGCAATGGTGAACCTTTCATTTTTGGCGCTTGACAAGTGAGACTCTGGTCGCTCTGAGGGCCTCCTTTCCACTGAAAGGCAGGCAATCGCTGGCATTGCCAGGGCCATGTAAGCTTCAATCGGGCGACCCGAAGACCTTTGGTGATTCCTTGCCCCGAACCGGCAAGATGATTCAACAACACCTATTTTTTTTGATTGATGGGGCCCCCAAAGGTTTGAACAGGGGGTAGGGGCAGTCTTCGGAGCAGAGTTGGACACTTTCTGAGAGTCTTAAGGGTTTTGATATCCCCAATAGGGTTTCCCCCCCCTCTCCGCAAGGGGGGGGGTTGACAGAAGCCTTCTCATCGAAGTAGCGATTTTGACTGCCGGGAGAAACTGCCCTGAAAGGGAAGGCGACTACACGGGCATCCAACGGCCGTGGCTGCAAGCATAAATAATACTTGTGACTTTGATATGCATATTGTGTTTGGTCAAGTTCAAAATGTGATTCCATCGTTACTTCTATGATTTTTGTGGTTAAACTCAAATGAGGCACAATCAAAACCCGGGTAGATGAAGGTGAGAAAGGGCCAATCCCAGCCATAAATAGCTGCGGATACCCGCCTTCCTAATACTTGAAGCATGGTTCTTGGTTCACCATTGTAATCCCGGGTTTTGATTGTGGCTCAAATTTGACTCGTTACTTCCATGGCAAACCAGCCATCTGCCTCGGAAGCTGGGGGATCTCAACCCGCGCCCAAGCGTCCGCCCCAAGCGACCCCCGAAGGGCTCCAAACTTTTCTTCCAAAGTAAAGAAATGGACACCACCATCTACAAGTTGCAATGTTCAGGTGTATAATGTAAGGATCCCTGTGTTGGTTTGTGCGTTGCTTTGGGTCTTTGTATCAAGGCCCCCCAGCTAGGTGCCCTTTCTTACCGTTTCTTTTTTGGTTGGGAGGGTTCCCCTAGTAAAATCGACGATTCAGAAAAGAAAGTCGGGTACCGACTTACTCTAACCTCTCAAATCTGGAGGACCTAGTGGAATATGCTTGCGTATTTGCAGGGGGTGCAGCTAGATCCACTAGACACCTTTGGGGACTCCGGACTTTTGCCAGGTGCGGGGCCGGTGCGGCAAGGTGCGCGTGGAGCTGCGGGTCAAGGACTTCCTGGAGACCAGGCCCTGGCTGAAACCCTGGAGCCAGGCGCTGGGGTCAGGGCGGGGGGTCGGGGTCGGGGGGGGTGCTGGAAAAAAGCCAATACGGAGCTTGGTACCTTTTGTTTGGGGCAACCAATGCCTGCAAAGGGGTTCAGGAGGCAGAAAGGGCCCTTGAGCAGTTGCCGCTCGCTTGCTTGGTTGCCGGGGTGGGCTTCGGGTTCGCCACTCTCTCTCTTCTTTTTTTTTTTTTTGGGGGGGGGGCAAGGTGTGGTGTGGTCGTACCCCGCCCTGAGTGGAACCGGCCGTGGGCGTGTGGGGGGGGGTGGGTGGGTGAACAGTCATTTGCCTAGTAGACTAAAGTGAAGAGAGTTTTTGGGGCCAGCCCCCAGAAGCAGAGGCAACAAGAATGACTAGCGTGTCCCAGTTCCATGTTTCCAGCCATCCCAAAGAGAAACCAACACACAAGTGAAATTTCCAGGGGTCGCCCACCTCAGCCGTTTCCACGTAGGGTACAACCACTACCACCCACACCTTGCCCCAAGATCAACCAAAAAAAAAAAAAAAAAAAAACGGAGAGTGGCTGACCGGCACGTGGACGCGCCACACGCCCGCGACATTCTTGGCGGGTTCAGGTGGAGGTGCTGCTGGTGGACCCGAGCTGCTCGGGCTCGGGGCTGCCGGAGCACGGCTTTGACGCGAAGCCCCATGGACAGGCGGGGCCCCGACCGGTGCCGGGATAGGGGCCGGTCTCCGATATGATATTTATAATATGCTGCGTGTTTACATGTAGGGGCTATACACACATTTATATATATATATATATAGACAGATAGATCTAGATATGAATTCACATTATGAGCACGAAAATGGGTTAGGCCAAATTGAAGTAGAATCTGAACACATGTTTGGTGGGTACATTGGAGCCCCGGATTCTGGTGGATGAACGTTTGCCCCCCTGAACGAAATCCGGATGTCCTCTAAAATTGGACATCCCCTATTTGGGGTTTATGAATCATGGGTTCCTCATCCCTGCGAGCCTGAGGGAGTGCAATGGTTGAATATCATTTTTGGGGTCATGTTGAAAGTCTAAACGCTTTGGATGCGCCTTTTATGGATTTCACCTGTTCTTCCCCCCGGTTCTTGGCCCTTTTTTCGTCATCTGTGTGTACTCGTTTTGGAATTCTTCAGAGAAAATCCACAGGTTCGCCACCTCCGACCTGTTTTCTCGGCTTCCAAAGGGCGCATCTTTCGGACGCCGCAGCTCTGGTGCCCTCTTGGCCTCACATAAAGCCGCACACTTCTCGCCGTTCGGAGTTGCTCGCTCGCCGCGAATTTTTAGAAGCTCCCAGGAAGCCCTGTCAGGGATTGCCAGCCAGGGATAGGAGTTCCTAGACCAAAAAAAAAAAAAAAAAAAAAAAAACGCTTTTTCTGCAACTTTCAGTTTTTCCATCATGTATCCGTTGGGTCCGTATGGCTTTTCTTTGGTCATGTCCACGGCAGGCTATTTTATATCAATGGCCCCTAACTTTCCCCTGAGCTTCGGCTCCGAGAATCCCAGAACTTTTCGGGGGTTGAACTCCAAATCTAACCCCAAGCCGTCGCCTAACCGAGAGCCTCACCCACGCCCCACCGCTCCAACGCCCACTCCGCGCAACCACAGGTGTCCTTTCGACAAATAGATGGCGATTCCTGGTTTACCTGGTGGTTGAATCATCCACCAGCGCCATCCATTTACCCTAAGAGGACACCTATGGCAACCACGCGCGAAACCGGCCCCGCGCGACTCCCGCGGAGTCGCGGCTCCGGCGGCTGGCGGCCTTCCAGCAGCGGATCTTGCGCCACGCCCTGCAGTTCCCGAAGGCTCGCACTGTCCGGCAGCCCAGAGACTCAGAGCCTCAGAGCTGAGTCCGATGGGGTGAGATATGTCAACCTGTGGTGGTCGAAACCTGTGGTGGTCAGATCCTGGGGTGGTGGTCAAAACCTGTGGTCAGATCCCATTTTGGTTCCTTTTTGGTTGGTAGGTGAATTCACCCCGGGCCAAAAAAAAACCTATTGGGTCAAAACCGGTTTGGTTGATCCCGTTCTGGTTGGTAGGTGAATTCACCATAGAACCTATTTTAGTGGTTGGATTGGGATGTTCACTGGGGGGTACGATTTGGATTTTGACCCATGGCCATGTCAACATGTGGGGACGACACCGATAAAATGTTTGGCTGTTCTTTGGAGTCCCTTTGAGCCAACCCTGGCATCTTGGATCACAAGGCGTGTCTATTTTTCTCAGGGTAGGCTGAATATGAAACAGAGTCGTATTAAAGTAGGCTTGTTGGAGTGCCAAGAATGGGGTATGGATGGAGGAACCCTGCACTCGTTCCGTTGGGATGGATGAAACCTATAAATACCTGGATGTAGCACCTACCAACGGTTGGTGCAGGATTTTGTCCGTCCGCCGTACCATTCATTTGTTTGGCAGCAGGGGCGCGATGCATGTTTGCTGTAGACATCATCAACATGGCACTTGAAGCAGATTCATTTTCAGAGCGGCTCCTTTACGTAGCATTTCAGAGGGGAAATGTAAGAATGTCGTGGAAACGGACCCTCGAAGAACACATCCCCTCCCATCCCAAAATCAGTGGCAGATGCGTCCTGCGCACAAAGCGGTTGTTGCTCCTTTCTGCAGATGACGCGCTTCCAATTTCAGGGGCTCTTTTTCAAGCTCGCCGCCGGTTCACCCCAAACCACCCCCCCCAAAGAAGAAATCGCCACAGGTTTCGGAACCCAGTTGGGCGCCGCCCCTGTCACCTCGGCTTAAAGGGAGGAGCAAAGAACCTCCCCCCCCCCGACTCCCATTTTCGGGGTGTCCCTACAGGTGGTGTACTCTACCTGCTCCCTGCACCGCCTGGAGAACGAGGACGTGGTGGAGCAGGTGCTGCAGGAGCCATGGCCAGCGGCGGTTTTTGATTGGTCTACTTGAATGTCTCGCTTAAATGTCTCGTCAGCTACGTGGACCTTGGGATCATACCCCAGGCCGTACCGGCCTGATGATCTGATTCCTGAAATTCGAAAATGGAGTGTGTTGGCTTTGTTGCGACCCGTTGTGGTTAGGGAAGCCAAGAGGAACACCACCTGTTGACGGCCCTTCTTTGGGATTGTCCTCAAAGGGAAGGCCCCGAAATTGTGGCGTCCTCCTGGTTTTTATCCGGGTCCCGTAAGATGGATCTGTCGGGGTGGTTGACTTTCCAGTTGAAATCAGCCAGACTTAGACAATTGAATTGCTCACATCTTGCTTCGCCCAAGCTGATCGTGGAGAATTCGCCGCTTTTCTGTGGCAAAGTGGCACGGTTTGTTGTGGGTTCGAATCCATGTTACCTCGGTTGGGGGAGGAGAAGCTCCCTCCCGGACCCTCCTCTCATAGGATCCAACCCCTTCTGGTTTCCTCCAACTCATACGACCTGAGAGGCATCCAGGGGAAGGGCGGTGCGGGGCAACCTCCAAATCCTGAAAGGAAGCCATAGGATGGCTGGTTTTGGTCGGCGGTCATTCCATCCTTCCGTTTGCAAGGTGTTTTCTTGTCATTTTCCCCTGGTGTTAGCGGGGATCGATTTCACCATTGCGAAACATGTTCTCGGGGGAAACAGCCCAGGGTGCGAAAAAGCAAAAAGCCAATGCAGGCAACTCACTCCAAAACGAGCCGGCGAAGGAGTGCCCGGACTTCGCGGTGAAGGAGGCGCTGTCGTGGTGGCCCAACGTTTTGCCCTCGGAGGCGGTGAAGGGCAAAAGGCCCTGGCCCAGCTGGGCGAGGCCTGGGCTTGGGGCTTGGGGCTTGGGGCTTGGGCCGCCGGGCTGGGCAGATTCCCAGCCCCGGAAAAAAGGAGACAAAAAAACACCCACACACATGCGTACAAAAATATATTTATATACATATATACACATAGATCTATTCAAACACTCACACTCACACAACGAATTAGTTTGGTTCTGCTGGATCCCACTAGCGGAAACTGCCCAGAACTCACTAGAAAACTCCAAGCACGCACATCCGGTGCATGCGAGTAGAAACCCTCGCTTGGTCCCTGCTGCTTTGTTCTCATATTCATCGAAGTATGTGCTTTCTTCAACCAGGTTCACCCACCTAAAGCATGAGCTCGTGGGCCTTTCAGGATTTCACATGAGTGCCCCTCCTTTCTGACCAGACAAATGCCCAACAGCTATGTATATACACATGCAGAGACAAACGCATATATATAGTGCATCCATTGGTGTCTCTTTATATGTTCAACAAGGACATGCGATATCAATCATGGACTATTGAAGAGCTGAAATATAGACATATAGTCGAGCATGCAAGGTTGTTTGAGTAAGGAACTCAAGCAGCTCAATTTTCCTGATGTTTTAAGTGTTTTTACTCACCTGAAGCAACCAGCACAGCTTTTTTTTTGGTTCTGCCATCACATGTGTGCCTCATATCATGGCATTCGATATGGATGGCCTGAATTTGCAGAAACCTCAACTGTTTGAAGGCTTTAAGTACGTTGTTTGATTCTGGAATTGAACGCGTTTGGTGCGAGCATTCTTAGAAGCAAAATGCACTTGGCATAAAAGGCTACTGAGCGCAACATTCCGGGCCGGTGAAATATTTTACCTGTTTGAGGTTGGCTCTAATCCAAGCTTTCCCTTTAGCTATTGCACTCTCTTTTTCACGGATTCCTCTTGAGTGCCCTGGATTCTTCCAGCGGCTAAACTGCGCAGGGGTCATCCCCAAAAAACCCTTGGCAGGACACCGGGCAAGGCCGGCACGCGGGTGCTGTGGTGTGGTGGACCAGTGCAGGGACACACTACATGGAAACGTGCACATATATGTAAAGGTATGCCAGTTTATGTTTATGTATGTGTATATCTATTATACACATGTACGTATGTATGCAAGGTTACTCTTTTATATTCTTCCAGCTGTTTCAGGTTGGAACCACTTGGACCATGTCACCATATCGTGCTGTTTGCGCCAGTGATGAGAATCAGCTTGCTTCATTCTACCTGGTTCGCGTGGGTTTGTCCATCGTTTGATGTACTATTGAACATGATTCTTCTGCAAGTCCTTGGCATGTATTGACGGATCTACTTTGTCCACTGGCTAAAGCATCTTCTCTAATTGCTTGAAACTGACAAGACACAGGTGTTTCCCCATTTGTTCACCCTTTTCCGCAGGGATCCGCCAGGATCAGCCACGATTTTTTGGGTCAGAAAATCGGCCACGGAGTGAAGGTTCTGCCTGCGCTCGGACCCCGTGCACCACCGCTGCCGCGGCTTCTTCCTCTGCCGCCTGGACCGGCGGGCGGCCGGTGCGCCCGCTGCTTCCGCGCCACCGGAGCCGCCGCAGCCGGAAGCGCCGCCGGCGCCGGCGGAAGCGGCGCCGGCGCCGGCGGAAGCGGCGCCGGGGAAGGCCAAGAGGAGGCGAAGACTTGGAGACCGAAGGTTGGGCCAAATTGTCTGAGCCCGCAGCTGGGCGAATATTGTTGCCATCTCACCTGAGCGAAGGGATCTCGATAGCTTTGCCGGATGTTTGGGCACTGGGTCAATTTGGCTTCGTACCGGCCCGAGTGCTTTCTTGCGTCCATCGCCCAGAAAGTGTCACATGGCTTGCTGAAGGGCAGGGTTTGGATGCATTTGTATGGGCCTGTTTTTCTTCTGGGTACCCTCGTTGTTGCGGGTTTGAATGGTAACCAAAAGGGACAACTTGCCATTTGGGGTGTCCGACATAGAGGTACCAGGTGGTCTCGGGTGGTGTCAAGTTCGGTTTGGCACGCTATGCACAAATCAGATGATGTTTTCACCGGCAGGAAAGTCAAGGGATGCATGGTGTCTTTTCCTGTTTTACAGACCTTCCATGCAACACACAGGCAAGCAACTTGCCCGTAGGACTCAAAAGACCGAACACTTGATCAGGCCTACCAAAGTCCGTTACAAAACAGTGCTCAGTGTTGCGGCTTGCATGGTTTGTTTGCTTCTTTCGTTTTAAATTTATATATATATATATGTGCATTTTGCAAAATAGGCCAATGGTTTGCGTTCGAGTTGCACTACCTCTACAGAGTGGCCTCTTGTACACGAGGCATCGAGGCCACTGCCGTCACCTCCCTTCCCCTTTTTGCCCACGCCCCGGCGCAAGGCGCTCGAGGGAAAAGGCAGAGCCTGCCGAGTCCAAGTTTGAGGCGCGGTCGCAGATCCGACCTCATTCTTTTGCCCAATGCCAAGAACGTGACCTTCCATTTGCTTAAGAAAAACATATATTGTGCCTTGTTGGTTTTAAAGGGAATCTATCACTGCTGGAAATATTGTTTGTTTGTTTTTTTCCAGGAGACTTAAGCAAATGGAGGTGCCGGGGGGAAAAGCGCACAGGTTGAAGGTAAAAAGCTAGCAGCCCCCTTCCCCAGCAGTGTTTGCAGGGCTCCCTTGAGCCGTAATCACCTTTCAGAGAAATCGATCTGAGCACAGGTGCGCGCATCTGTTTCGGATATGTAAACAATCCCAACTTCAGATAGTTTGGCCTTGGGCCCCAGAATTCGCGCCAGTTTTTGCACCGGCAGGTGAGCAAAAAGCGGAAGGGCGCCGGGATCCGCATTGGCGGCTTGTCGCAGAGCTGGGTGGGACGAGGTGAAGAAACCGCACGCCTGTTCCAAAGCTGTGGGGGGTTTCCATTCCCGTGAAATAGGGTCTTCTGTTAGGTTCCGTCTTTTGCAACCTCCCAGGGGTGGTTCTTGAATTAGTAACAGCATGGTAACTACCTCCACTAACAGAGATTCATATTTGAGGCAATGCATGGTCAGCATCCGAGCCTGGCTGGCGAGCATTGACGCATCCAACCAAGATGAGGCATCGGAAAGTCTCCCGAAGCAACTCTGCTTCTGGTTTGGTCTTCATGTCTTCAATTCCAATGCGCACTTCAGGAGGGTCTCATGGAGAGTTTAGTGTGCCAGTAGAAATCTCTATGTGCATATGAGTATGTTAATGCATGCCTAACCGCGTGTAAAAAAATGGGACGGTTTCTACATCACAGGGGTCGCCTTTCTGTACAGAACTTGCAGAGTATTCCTTGGCTCGCGGAGCGGGGACTTGGCCACTGGAGCTCCGAGCCAAGGCGTGCCGCGGAAGGTCCCGGCGAAACCAGCCAGGCGCGTTTGCCGGGAGCAAAAAGAGACGCATGAGGCGCGCCTTGCGCGCAGAGGTGCGAGGTTGGATTCGGATCGTTGGGTGGGTTCCCCAGTGTAGCGAGTTGGTCAGTAGATTCTTGGTATTAAAATGACCTGCCTTGAATCCGACAAGCGGCCCCTTTTGGCAGTGGCTCTCAGCACCTGTGGAGATGCGGATGTGCAAAAGATGGGGACCCATCCCGGTGGATTTTTCCTTGAGCTTCCCCTCAAGACCGATAATGGCTTTGTGCTCAATGCATCGAGTCCTGGTGCTTTGTGTTTGGTGCTTTGAGTTAAAAAGGTACCCAGTGCGCAGAATTGAGGGCGCTACATGCAAAGCTTTGGCGGCACAAGCGACACGATGTCTCAACCTGTTTGCTGACTAAACTTCCTGATATCGTATCTACCTGTCTGTTATGACATGACGCTTGGCTAATATTGTTGGCGGCTGAGCTTGCATGTTCCTGGCATTCACTTCATTCAGCAGCATCCTTGACTTCAGATGTCGTCGCACCGGATGGACGTGGTCAGACAGCCCCAGCGGACCACAGTCAAGTACCAGTTCGAGGTGTGTGCAGTGAATACGGAAGTGGGCGACAAGGTCTTCCTTGTGGGAGGTGCCTGGGTTTGGACTTTCTGTGTGATTCTCCACCCGAGGCGACATGTCGCACGCTTGCAATGACATTGTAGCATATTTGAGCGGTGGAGACTTGATTTTGCGATATGTTGGGTCATTTGGTCGCCTGCGTGGGCTTTGTTGTTTTGGCAATCCGAAGCCTAGGTGCGCCAGAATTGGGGAAATGGGAAATGAACAAGGCAGTGGAGCTTGTGTCCACCAACAACCTCTTTCCATCGTGGTTTCGTGACGTGGAGATCAATCCAGGGCATTTGGATCCCCGTGCTCCAGATGCGCCGCATGCCTGCGACCAGTACAAGTATGTCATACGTCGCAGGAGCGGGCACGAGGAGTGGGAGGATGGCCCCAACCGATATTTTGTGAATGGAGGCCGCCAGTTTGGCGGCAACTTCAACGGCACCGACTTCAATGGCACCAAAAGGGGCATACGCTTGGGCCTTTTGTATTCGAACCAGCAAGTTCCCAGTCTTGATTGGGTGCAGGAAGAATTTGAAAAGCTCCACTCAAAGCTTTGCGACATGAAGCAAAGCATGAGTGATGAGTTGGAGTCGTTGAAGAAGGCCCAGACATATCTCGCAGAGAAGCACACCTCGCAGCAGACGTCCTTGCAAGCCTTCCGCCGCGACTTCAGCGATTTCCGTGTGAAGATGCCAGACTTTCCCTCTGAAGAAGAGCTCGTGACCAAAGTCCAAAAGGCTCTTGACAGCAGTTTGCAAGAGCGCTTCAGGGATTTGCAGAATTCTGTCGCCGCCTTGGAAGAGCAGCTGGCTGGAATTAGACCCAGTCCTCCCAGTGCTCCCAGTGTACCTGCAGGGCAGCCGTACAGGCCTTCTGAGGGACAGGGAGAGGCAGAGCCGCCGACAGAGAAGGCGCTCGAGGCAGGTCCAGAACTCAGAGCTCCAGTCGCGGATGTTGTGAAATCGCAGTTCGTGCAGAGATGTGCGAGTCACCGGAGCAGCATCCGGCCGAAGCGTGGCCTCAGCTCCTTTGCAGGCTTCAAAACCCCTGCAAAACCCAGCGACGAGAAGCTGCGGGCCATCGCTCAGCAGGTTGAGCTGGACCTTTATGCTTCCAAGTGCCGGGATGACTCTGCGGATGAGCGGAGAAAGCTGCTAACAAAAGTGATGTCGAGGCTTCATGACGACAAAGGCGGCGATAAGGAAGTGGTGCGGCTCGGCCTTGAGCTAGGGTGATCATTTCCAGCCAATCGCCAGGGGAGTTGAACCGTGCACATGCTGAAGGTTCCATCGCATATTTTTCCTACTCAGCTTGTGGGGTCTTGCGTCGGGAGTCGGACCCCGAACATGTGAGCCCGGGCTTGTCTGCAGAGGTTTTGGTTCTTGGACTGGAAGAAAGCGCACCTCAAATGGTTCTTCGAGCCGCATCCGGTACCGCTGGAGGCGCGCGCCATGAACCACAGGTTTTCGCAAAGCTACCATCCATGCTTACATTTTGGGGAAACTCGCCAAACGGTCCACAAACAGACTGGGCTCCTCGTATGTGCCACGTTGCATCTTGTGCACCTCCAAACAAGTGGAGCTTTCGGACTCACATCTTGGCATCTGGTCCTCAGGCGCTGGACAGGTAGCGCAAATCCTTTCGGCCTGAAGCATAGAATTCGAGATTTGCACCCAGGAAGGCCCCTCAAGTTTGCACATCCTCGTGGAGGTGCGGGCCATTCTCCGGATTTTTTTAAAGGATCCAAGCAGATTGTTTGCCAGGACGTTCCTGGGGTCCAAGGCTGATTGTATATGTCCAGTGGTCCAGCCATGGCAATTTTGGATTGCTCTGGGACTCATTCCAAATCAAGCCAAGGATGAACTCATGGGCTTTGATGAGGGGTTCCTACATTCAGCCCTTGGGAATCTGAAGGCCAATCGCACAGATCATTTGCGCTCTTGAGTCAAGAGAGAGAAAGAAGTGCGTGGAGGCCGTGACAACCTGAGCTGAGCAAAGAGACCCGAGATAACCCTGGCCGAGTTTTTTCCAGTTTCCCAAGTCAGACCGTCCCTGAAGCCGAGCCAAGCGCGATGGCAACTTCCTTCGAGTCCATGCAACAGCTGGACCAAATGGCATCTAAAGTGGCGGCCCTCCACGACTTGATGCAGCAGGCGCAGAAGAAGATGAAGGCGTGCAAGCAGCTCGCGGACTGGCAGGCGGCTCACTCCTCAGAGTCTTCAGACCCCTGCAACGTGGAGAGCTTGACTCCGGAGGTGGGCAAGGATTGTGTCAAGTATCAAAAAGAGCTCAAGCAGGAGGCCGAGCTGCATGCCGATGAATGCGCGCAGCTCCTGGCAAAGACGAAGGATCAGCTGCAGTCCTTGCAGAGTCAGGCGTCTGAGTTGATTGCCTCGGACGTGAAGGGAGGGCTCTAGGCGGTGCGGGACCAGCTCTTGCAGTCTGTCTGTCGGTGACGAAACGGAGAAGGTTGCCGCGTTCGCGGACAACGACCGCTTGAAGAAGGTGGACGACATTCTGACGCAGAGCGACAAGTCTAAGAGCGAGCAGGAAAAAGAGGAGGGAGGCCTACAAGCGTCAGCGGGCCAAGACGATTGGAGAGCGTTTCGAGAAGTGCGCGCAGAAGGTGCCGACATTCTTGCAGCAGAACAAGCGGCCGATGCAGTTGGAAGAGATGTATTCCGTCCAGGATTCTGCGGCGAAGGCACGGGAGTGGGCGCAGAAGGACACAGATGGTAGGAGCAAGGGGAAGGAGGAGCTGGAGGCGCTTCGAACGAGCCCACAAATGTTTGGTTTCGTTTGGCTTCTGTGCCGAAACTGCAGCACCCCCCCGGTGATGTCAAACCGCCTGATGGTTGGGTCTCCTGGGCATCGGGTTGGGGAGGCCCTCTGTGAGGGAAGGCCTGTTAGAGCCTTGTGTGCCCACGGGGCGCGCAGATGTACTGATGGCCCTTGGTCGCTTCGCTCCGAGAATCCGTAGCTGACATCTGCTTGGTGGTTTGGGCCGGTGGGAACTGAGGATTGGTAAATCTTCAGGTGAGGCACAATCAAAACCCGGGTAGACGAAGGTTAGTAAGGGCCAATCCCAGCCATAAATAGCTGCTTGCGGCCGCCTTCTTAATTCTTTACATGGTTCTGGGTTCACCATTTCAATACCAGGTTTTGATTGTGGCTCAGGTTGCGTAGTTAGAGGCAGCAATGGGCGGGCGCTTGCGAGCATAGATAGAAAGCGGATGGGTGACTCCCTACACCTCACCCCAGATTGGTTTTGTAGGGGATTGTGCCCGAGCTAGTGGGGATCCAAACGTTTACCACCTGCAAATGCAGATTATATGGGTACAAAACTTAGCTTGGGAACAATTTGGCGGTCATTAAGGGTGTTGCCCACTAAAAATCGCAGCCATATTCCACAGGGTCTATGGCCTGTCATTAGGGAGGGGCGCTATGTCAACCAAAGTTTCGGCGGGCGGACGCGCTTGTTTGGCGAGCGAGCATGTTCAGCTCCCTTGGGTTTCAAGAACTTGCAAGAGGTCGCATGGTTGAACGGGTTTGTGAGGGTTGTGTGGGCTTCCTTCTCTCCGACGTCCTCTGTGAAGATTGTGCAAGCTTTGCAGAGGGGCGAAAAGCACTGCACTACGCCATACTTGTACCGCTTGGGGAATCATAGAGTCGTTCCCAACTATATACTCGCGCTGCTCATCTTCAACTTGGGTTGATTGTGGAAGACTTCTCCAAGGGGATGCATTTGGGCACACGTGTGTAAGGTTCCACTGGGGGGGTATGAAGACGATTCCTCCGGCACCGTGCGTCTTTTCGCGGGAAGGGGCAAAGAAAGGTGAACGTCAAAAGACCGCTGGGGCTGGTCGCTTTAGCTGGTTCTGATCAGCGCCATCGCGGCTTCAGGGCTCAAGAGCCCCGGTGGCCCCAAAGTGGGGGCAGACGAGCTTCAGTTAGAGTGGGGGGGCGGGGTTTGTTCTGATGGAGGACTCTAAGGCGCGGTATGCAGCAGAGGCATTAGGTGCTATACAGGAGGGGCACTTATTTTAGGGATGTGTTGTTGAGGGTTTGGCGCCATGTGGCGGGATGATGCCCACATTCAAAGCAGTAAAGAGGGCTCACGTTTGTTGGGAACGGGCTAGTTTGTGCTATCGCCCTCTTTGTGTGGGTCCTCGAGACCAACCAGGATCTTGCTTGCCTGCTTTAAGATCAATTCGGCCTGGATCTCTTCAATTTCTTCCATGTCGCGCCTGGCTTTGACTGGTATTGTGCCAGCTGTGAGGTCGCCGAGTTCCGGAATGTTGGCGGGCAGAGGACGCTGGTATCCAAAAAGCCCGGGAGCCCCGGCAAGGCAGGTAGGCTGATCCAAGCATGTCCAAAATGTTCCAAACGCGGCAAAGCAGCATGCCCTCAAGTTTGAGGCACGTATCTTGCTCTTTGTTAGGCTTTGCATGAGGGATTTGTAACCTCTTCCTTCCTCGCAAGCGGGAAAGCAGCCAGCAGAAAGCAATCTTGCACACACGAAAGAGGAAAACCTTTGACCGGCCTGCCTCTTCTTGAAGTCTGAGGGGCCGTCGTTTTTTTTTGAGGGGGGGGAGGCCTGCTTCACCAATCTCGGCCAAGAAGCTTCACTGATCGCGCGGGCGCGAAAGCCGACCGAGGTCCATGGGCCACTCTGGCTCTTTGCCTTCGCTCACCGGCTGGCGCCCCAGAAAGGCTCGAGTCGCATGCGTGCCGAGCCACCTCGCGTTGGCCCAGCCGAAGGGGCTGCGGAAAGCAAATGCCGCCAGAGTCTCCCAGCTTTGCCTCCCAAGCAATCTGTGAAATGGAGACATCCTGCAAGCATCCACCATGTTTTTTCTGGCAGAGGGTTCTTAAACCATAAAGAAGAAGAAGCAACAACAACATCAAAACAAGCAGAAACACAAACAACAAAACATCAAGGAACAACAATGAAACAAACATCACAGTGGGGCTTCAGCGTTCAGCTTCTACCATGCTGGGCTGGGAGGGGCCGCTGCTGCTGCCGCGGCTCTGCCGCCTCGCCAGCACCGGGCTGCCAGCGCAAGCGCTGCTTCCGGAGCGGGTGAAAGGGGAGGCGGCAGACCCGCAGCCCAAGGCGGGGCTTTGGGGCGAGGTTTTTTTTTTTTTTTTTTTTGGGGGGGTGTTTTGGTGGGGAGAAGACGAAGGATGCAAGAAGCACAGAGCCAAATTTGATGCTTAGTGTTCAACTTGCGCTTTCGCCTGTCTTGAGCACAAGCTCTCTCACGAAAGGAGGTAGGGGTCATTGAACCTCACTGGCCCCCTTCTGAACCGTTTTTTTTTTTTTGCGAGACCATGGCCAAGTCGAGGACAAAACGAACCAGAAGTTCATTAAGCTGGCTCAAAATCTGATTGGGGCGTGTCCCACGTTGAGAGGGAATCCGCGTCACGCTGGGAGAGTCTCCATCCCCGAGGCTGCGCGGGAGACCTCGGCGAGAAGCCGGCTGGCGTACCTGCTGACCAAAAAGCCCGGGGAGGCCCTGGCGGGGTGCCCGAGTTGTGGTTTGGAGCCCGGTGGTTTGGATTGGAAGCCCTGGCTTTTCATGTGGAAATGGGAGGCCCCTTCTGATACCACCAAAAAAAGGCCGGCCGAGCCAGGAGGGAGGTGGAATTCTCAGCTGTTGGGATCTCGTCGCAGCGCCCGGTATGAGACCCAAACTGGCACACCGATCGGTGGGGTGAGGGATCTCAGCTTCCAAGCCGAGGTGGGGCAGCCCTGCCCTCCGAGCGGAACGGCGGAGAAGCCGGAGACCCCGAAGAAGGCGGAACTGGAGGAGGCCGGAAACTGGGGCAAGGTTCTCCAGGCCTTTGGCCTGGGGTGGGGTGGGGTTGGGTGGGTGGGTGGGTGGGTGCTGGACAAAAAAAATCGAGTTGTTTGGTGACGTCTCGAGCCACACCCACCCAACCAAACCCCACGGATCATGTTGGCGAGTCTGTCTCAAAGGGATTCGGACCCCCAAATGTGGCCACGGCTCCTTTTTTGGTTTCCCTAAGCAGCCCCTCAAAAAGGGTTGCCCTCACTCCCACTAACATGGCACCCAGAGGCGCCTACAAGACAAAAAATGATCTTCCAGGTGCCCTCCCATAGGTGCTATGTTAGTCAGGGCTCCTCAAAAGATCTCCATTTTGCCCATTTGAAACATGGCGTTTTCCACCAAAATAAAGGGACACCACCATGTACAAGGCAATGTTCAGGTGTATAATGTAAGGATCCCTGTTCGTGGAAGGGAGGGTACCGAGCCTTGTCAGGAACGGCTCACGCCTTCGGAGCCGGCACCGCTTCCGGCTTCCGCGCCGACACACGGAAGCGACGGCAGCGGCGGAAGCGGCGGAAGTGGCGCGGCCCTGTGCGAGTGCGGCAGCCCGGCGGAGATGGGCCGAGTCTTCGCCGAGCAGAACTTCCGGAGATATTGCCAGAGGTGCACCGGGCGCCTTTTTTTTTTGTTTGAAAAGGAGACTAAGAGGAACAGCCAGCATTTTGGGGGGTGCCCTGAAACAAGACACACCCACATGGGCCAAATTGGGGGCGCCCCCCCCCCAAATTAAAAAAGAAGAAGAAGAAGAAGGTTGATGTCAGTTGGTTCCCCTTCAAACCAACCTCACAGAAGGGTAAAAAACCTATTGAAGCTGTCTCCCACACGGCCAGCGTTGGAGACTTGGTCTGGCATGGACCCCCTTGACAGCTTTGTTGCGGCCCGCAATGGGAAGGAAGCCCGGCTCTGCACCGCGTATGTTCGGGTTGGGTGATTTTGACAGGACCGAAGGATCAAAGTCTTTTCACTGACCGCCCCTGCAAACGCACCATGTCAACCACTTTTGCTAGAGGGGGAAGTGTGTTTTCAGGGCATCGTTTCCTCGTTTTTTGTGTTGTTTTTTTTGGGGGGGAATTCCCTGAGACCAACTTGCGCCGGAAACTCTCTGCGCTGAGTTTCAGCCGTCAGGTGCTGGGAGAGTTGGGAGAAGTGCGGGCGCTGGTGGCCAGCCATCCGGGTGTCCACTTGCCCTCCGCGACAGACGGGCCAGGCCCGGGGCTGTGAGCAGGGGGAGTCTGAGGTTCGTGGAGTTTTCGGGGCCGTCCTTTTGGTTTCCATTCAAAACCATCCAGCAAGGAGTAATTTGGGCAGAGGGAAGACATCATGGCCATTCGGACCTGTCTCTCTCTCGGGCATGCCATGGTTGAACTGAAGGCCTTGGAGGCAGCCAAGGAGGAAAGGTACTTCTTCTTTTTTAAGGTACACTTGTTTGTTGGCAATCATTTTAGGGGTCCCCTAAAACAGACACCCAGATACCGACCCCCTAAAGGGGTTTCTCAGCTTGACACGGGCAGGACTTGCTTGTGAAAAGCGTAACTTTTGTGCGGATGTTTCCTCCTCCTTAACGGTAATTGTGCCAACATCATTGGATGTTAATGGTAATTGTGCCAACATCATGTTGTGCCAACATTTTTGTCCAGTTAATCAGTTGAAGATGTTTTAACAAGCCCTTAACTGGAGTTGGGGACCTTCCCCTCCTCTACCCCATGTCGGGGATATGTTGTTGGTTCCAGGTTAATTTGCAAAAACCGCCAGTCCAAACGTCCAATCGCTCCTGCAGATTGACATAACACCCAAGAAGCCGAAGCTGACGCCAATGGTGGGGACCCTCTTTTGGGTTCCTTCCCTTCATTTGCGAAATATGTCCCAATTTTTGGAGGCCCCGGATTTTGCAATTCTTACAATTGTTGGAATTCAGTTCCAACAATTGCAAAAGCCTGGTGGTTTCCAGGAACACCCAGCCAAAACCACCGATGCGGCTCCAAAACCGCCGTTTGGGGGAAGCTGACGTGTGGGGACTTGGCACTTGGCACGCCTCCCGCGCGCCGGGAATGGCGCCCAGTGCAGGGCGCTCAGTTCAGCGCGGAGGACGCCTTCGTCCTCCCGGGGTTTCTCTGCGATCAGGAGCGGTCGAGCCGCCGGGCCCCGGAAAGCAAAAATCAGTGGTATGTGTCTTAGGCTTTTCCGGCATCCTTTTTGGTTGGTTGGTGCAAGGGGGGGCCAATAGGAAGCCAAGTGCCTGCTGTTGACCCACAACGCACAACTTATTCTTGAGGTTGCATTCAGGTCGCGTAGAATCACGGGAATGCACCCGCAGAAACCCGACACATCACAGAATCTTTCTTTGACGACCCGCAGCCTCAGTACTGGGGTGGCTAGCGCCGTCCAAGAAATCAAGCCATCACTTGGCGAGACACTGGCGGCCTCTGCCAGGCAGGGGGGGGGGGTTTGAACCCAGAGGCTGCCAATCAATTGTTCAGTGGCACCCTTCTCCCTTCTGAGAGTTGTCAACCCCACAAAAGTGGGGGGTTTTCCTTTTATCATGGCCACTGAGCGAGGCAACAAAAACTGCAAGTCTCCAGGAGGACGGGTCGCTGCTGGCGGCCTTGCAAGCGGAGCTGCAGCGTGAGGGCAAGGCCCTGTCTGATTGGCACGGCAGCCGGCACCTGGGGCTCCAGTTCGAGTCGGGACTGCCCAAGGCGGAGGACGGCAGTGACGGCCGCTGGGGCTCGTGTTTCGCTTTCTCTTTTTCCTCCCCAACCCGCGCAGTGGGGGTCCATGGTTGGCAGGTTGGGGTGGGGAGGACGCGGATGGTGGCCCACTGAAGTCTGCTTGCGCGGATTCGAAGCTGGGGGGCAAAATAGTTGTTTCAGCATCGTGGTTTGGCTTTGCGTGATTTTGTTCTGAAAGCAAGGGACATGCTCAAGCCTGGGACTCCTTCACTGTGATTTGGCTCGGAATGCAGGGCAGGAACATTGTCATGCTGGCCCCCGGTCAGGCTGCGTGTCTTGGGAAGCTTCCAAGACACCTCGCATGAAGCTGGTCTCCCCAAGCATGTTGCTGCCACCGCCCAAGGCTGCAGCCGAAAGGACGCCCGTGCAAAACAAAGGACAGCATACGTCTCCCAGGTCCTTCCCAAGAGGATGTGAACCAAAGGACAAGAGTTCGGCCATTGGTTCCATGGTTTAAACAACCTCTTACTGGTTTCCCCAGGGGCAGCGGGTGGTTACTTCAACAACATTTGCCCAACCCTGCTTGTGTCCCCAGTTTGTCAACCATCGCTCTCACGTTTGTCCTTATCCCTTGGCTTTTGAGTTTTTGGCTGTCCGCGAAATCTGGAAAGAAGGATCCCAACAAAACCCCGGTTTTTGCACCCCCGACCATTTTGGGCTTTAGGTAGACTGGGTTGCGGCCACTCCATGTTAGGAGGCGCTGGGCCTGGGGAGAAAAATAACATGACAACCCCGGTTTATAGCATACCTCCACGAAAACTCGCTGAAACACCTAGGTTTTGCTTGGGGTTCCCAAGTTGGACCGGTTTCAACCGTTGTTTCATAAAGAAAACCGCCTCAACACCTAGGTGTTGCTTGGGATTCCCAAGTTGGAGCCTCTCTTTCGCGGGGTTTTGGCCAAGCGAGCGCCCAAAATCCGGCCAGGAGACCTTGCGGGCCCAGCTGGTGCGGAAGCTGGAGCAGGCCTTCGGCATCCGCGCCGCGGCGGTGCGCCTGAACCTCTACCGGGGGAACCAGGAGCTGTGGAGGGGCGTTTGTGGTAGGCGTCCTTTTTCTTTTTTAATAAACTTGATTGCTATTGGGTTGGATAGTTAGACCTTTTAACTTTTTGGTTGACATCAAGTTGGGTTTCCCACTGAAGCCACAAAAAGTTAAAACTTTTTGCAGAGGGGTCGACAGCAACCAAGCTTAGGTTAGTTTGGTCCAAAAAGAAGATGGGCTCCACTGGTTTAGGTGGGGTTTCTTCCATTTGTCAGGGAAACCCATCTGAATCGATTTTCCCGCAAGGCCACCAATGTTCTTTCCGTTGAGGCGAAGCCGTGGATCCCCCCTGCATCTGGACGTGATGGGACGAGTTCTCAGACACAACGGCACGATTGACAGGGGGAAGAGGTAGAAGCCACAGAAAGCGCATCCAGAATCCAAGCCTTTTTTTGAATGGAGGTCGTTACGGGCGTTCTGAAATTGGAAGCGTTCCCTTTTAGCGTTGGTGAACAACCCGCTGAAGGGAGAGCCCCTTGAACAGAGGCTGACCCTCTCGCGACAACGACACACACCCAACACTTCATTCTCAAAGAATTCGGATGCCTCCCAAAATGACCGGCGGCTTCCTGTTCCGGCGTTCCAGTTTGCCTGCGAACCCATTTTGGGTCAGCTTGGGGGGGAGACCGAAAAGCGACTTCAGCCATTGTTGGGGGGGGAGGGGAGGGGTTTGGAGGCCCAGAAAAAGGAGGAGCCACCCATCTGTTCGCAAAGAGGGCCCGGCAGAGTGGGCGCAATTTTGGGGCCATCGGGGAGTTGCTTGGAGCCCCGTTTGCTTGGGCCCAGGGCTTCTCCCAAGTTCACCCGAGGCTTGCCTCAGGGGTGGCTTCGGTTCTCTCTTTGGTGTCCCTTGGCTTCGGTTTTTCCTTGTGGTGTTCCTTTGGAAACCAAAAAGGGGTTCCCTGAACCAAAAAAAGACAAGCCCATGTAGGTATATACGGCGGGTCATGGGTTTCCTTTTCGTTCTCCTCAAAAACCGGCAAAAAAAGGCAAAACAAACACGCGGGGGGCTTGCATCCAAAACGCTATTTTCCCTTGCCGAAGGACTACAAGCCTCTGCACTACGACCGTGGCCGCGACAATGAGGGGGTGCCACAGCTTACTGTTGGGGCATCGCTGGGGGGGACCAGGGAGCTGACGCTCATGCACCTCGGACGGCCAAAGAAGTTCCGTTTTTTCCAGACCTTTATGTCCACATGTAGTATGGCTCCCAACAGGCTAACCTTCTGTTTCAGGTCCCAAGTTTTAGAGTTTTGACCCACTCAAAGTCCAACGATGTATTTTCAAACCCTTGGCATTGTGACAGCTGAGAGGTACTTTTGACGTATCCCACTAAAAAGTCTAACTGTTAGCAAGGAATCAACAGAGGCACGTCAAGTCTGGGGTTACCATGTCCTTCCCTCAGCGGAATGGGGACGTCTTCGCCTTCACCCCGGAGCTGAATGAGGCGAGCAGGACGTTTTTTTGTTTCTTCTTTTTTTCTTTCTTCCCTCTTCGGCCTGTGAAGAGGCTTTCAGAAAGGGATGTTTTGCTACTGGGATGTTCAACCGATGTCAAATAAGTAGGTTGTAACTTATGGCCATGGTTATTTCTGGGGGAAACTGGGGTAAATCCCCGATTGTCACCAGAAAAATGCTTCACCTACCATGGTTGAATGGTTGAAGATCCAACGGGTCCTTGCAGGTCTTCATGCACGGGGTGCCCAGGGTCTTGCCGAATTCCCCTTCAGCGCATGAGCCGGCAGACACCGCCCGCATGTCGCTGATCGTTTGGGGGCCGCGGGTTGGGGCGTGAGATGGCGTGACCTTGCAAGGGGTGGCGAGGTCAGATGGCCGAAAATGGGCGCGCCAGTTGCTGAGCGCTTCGGCGAATTCTTGAAATGCCCCCCCCCCCCCCCAATCTACTACCCCACAGGCAAATGAGAGTAGACCATCCTAGCCATACTCTATCCATTCTCCTTGAAATCGCGCTTTTGGGGTGGAACTGAGAGGGTCGACTCTAGAGATAAGACATGCTATGCGCGAGGACGGTGGCGCGCTGTATTTGACCGCCCTCTGTGGAATCGGTGTGTTTTAGGAGACCTGTGCCTCTTCGATTCGTTGATTCATGGAGTGTTTTTTGGGGGGCATAATTAGTTTTGTGGCTACCCGCCTTAGAGATTCCATAGTGATTGTTTTTTGCACCTTACACGGCTTCTCAGCATACACCCAGACAGACTGAAGCTTCCCGTGCCACGCGTGCCCCGCTCAGGCCGAGGCATGGGGAGTTCCTCCAGTGCCTTCTACACCCAGGGCTCTGGATTCAGGTGGGACACCCGGGGGCATGGCTTGGGGTTTGGATCCGTTTGGAACATTTATTGCACGGTTTCAGGTTGTTCTTTCGCGAGTCTTCGAATGCGCCCCATTCAATTGGAAGGTTTGACAGAGAGGTTCTTGGACTGCTGTCCTTTGGGAGAAGGAAGCCTTGTGAGAGGGCTGGTCAGTTCCAATTCGAGGCGGCGAGGCCCAGGGCAGGGAAAATAGCAACTTTCGAAAACCAAGCTGCCACAAGTTCTTTTTCGCCTCGCTGCTTGCCGGGAGAAAGCAAAACGCGCAGGTTGCCCGGCGGGGGGTGGGTGGCGGGGGGTGAGGGGGCGGCCACACGCACCAAGTTTGCTTTGGGCCGCCAAGCCTGGAAGCCCATTTGGCCGTGGTTGTTAAAACCAATGGGATCCCATTTTGGGGTAGGTGAATTCACCACCCATTTTAGAACCCATTTTAGGGGATTGGAATGTTCACGGGCTTTGGACCCATGGCCATGTGCCACTGGACGCCAATCCCACAAAAATGTGACTGGGGGGAAAACGCTGAAACGCCAAGCGCGAAGCGCCACGCTCGGAACATGCGCGGATCGCCGATCCAGGCAGCGGGGGATCCTCTCGGAGGTGGTGAAGCCGCATCGCCGCCAGGCGAAGCGAGAGAGCATGGGAGCGCCCCGTGCTTCGAGTTGCTTCTAATACTAATCTTGGTGGTTCCGGTTCCTTAGCTTCTCAGGGTTTTGCTGGTTGGGCTTCCATTTATTCACTCTTATAGGCGCCCGTCCTGAATGGCACCCACAAGGGTGATGCACCCCCGTGTCAACCAACTGGTTTTGCTTAATCCGGAGTGAGGCAACAGCTCTTTTTACCAGGTTTTATAAATTTTGGTTTACGGCAATCCCAGGGTTGGTTCATAGAGGATGTAGGGAAACCCCATGAATCACACCCAGGCGGCAGGTTCCTTTTGTCCCCTTCTGATTTCTGGAGGTTTGTTCAGGTTGGTTTGGTTGAAGTCAGCCGAAACCCATATGTTCCGGGGCACATGTTTGTCCATGGCCGCATTTCCCTTGAATGGCGTGAGAGGGAAGGGACTCCCGCATGGATCCTCGGATTTGGCAGGGGGCCTTGGCGACGAAAGAAAAGACGAGTTTCGAGCCAAGCTTCATAGAACTTCCAAGCTCATTGTGCATGAAACTCATCGGGCCCCCGCAAAATGGAAGAAACAAGCTTGAAATGAGCCTTTGGCACCCACTTCTGGTGGACGGCTTGCCGATTTTGTGCGGCAGAGAGAGAAAATAGAATCATGCGACAGAAGGAAAAGCTCCACCGCCTACCAAGGAACTCGCAACATCATTGCCCCCAGAAACGAACGAAAAACCGAGCCGCAGGAGGTGGACTCTTGCCGCCTGGGCCCGGTGGATTTGGGCACCTGCTCCGGCACCCTGCGGAAGCCGGCGGGCCTACCCGCAGGGCGGTCTTGGGCGGTTGGGGCTGGGGGGGAGAGGGGGGGCTTTCGAGATGAGCTTTCAGAGAGGGTTCCGGAGGGTGTTGGGGATGTCACCTGGTCGTTGTTTTTTCTTCTTCTTCTTTTTCTTTTTCTTTTTCTTTTTCTTTTTCTTTTTCTTTTTCTTTTTCTTTTTCTTTTTCTTTTTCTTTTTCTTTTTCTTTTTCTTTTTCTTTTTCTTTTTCTCTCTCTCTCTCTCTCTCTCTGCGGCAGCCCTGAGGAAGGTTCCACGAGGGTTCCACCACAATTCCACTTCCACTAGGGTTCCACCAGGGTTCCACGAGGTTCTGCGAGGGCTGCGGGGTGGTGCGGGCACTAAAAAGAGCACCGCATGCTGTTGGGGATATCACCTGAGTTTTTTTTTGGGGGGGGTTGTGGGGGGGGCAACTAGTTCGAGCCAGGGTGTTTGAGAAAACATGCGGGGGGGGGGCCGCAACAAAACGTCCGTTGGTTCCAGCTGGCCCTCAAAAGGCGGTTGGTCCACCTTTAGGAAATCCCCTATAAGGTGGTATTGGCTGAAACACGCTTCCTTGGTGAAGCCGGAGCTGTGTGCTGGCGACTTCTATGGAGGGTGTGTTCAAGTTTGAGCTGAGCAAGAAGCGCTCGCAATTCAGCACTTGCCAGCGGTGGCAACTTTTAAGACTCCTTGACACAGTGGCACGGTCATCGCTTTTTCGAGACGCTCCCGCCTCGGCCAGTATGTTTCGGCTGGCTTTGAGGTACTGTGTTTTGGTTTGCTTTGGTGGGGTGTGCCTGAACACTATTGGGCTGGACTTTTCTGCTGTTTCTCTCACAGGCTGTGCCACGATCTGGTTGGAGCCCCTTTTCATAGAGCTGGTTTTGATGGGTGGCATCTTTTGTGCCGTCACACACAGCTATTGCATTCCACAGGACCTGCGTTTGGACTTTTCGACTTGGCGTTTCGTCTCGAAAAGCTATGCGGTTCAGCGCAAGTATTCCGACAGCGCTGTCTGGTTCCTCCACTCCGTCATCATGGGGTGTCCATTCCAAATGGGTGGCTTTCCCGTTGGCTTCCTTGTAAAATCCCGCAGACTGTGTCCGCCATTAGTGCAGTGCTCATGTGGGTCTGGTGTTGAAGCCCCATTTGGTTGACACACATGTGCCCAGGCCACCGGTTTGACTGGACCCCCCGTTTTGGTTGGGCGCCCCGAAGCAGCTTTGGCTCCTCGGCCTGTGCTCAGGTCTGCGAGCGCCACCAGCTTCAGCCTCTCGGACCGGCTCCGCGCCAAGGCCCAGGAGGCGCGCCTGGTCGCGTCACGCCTGCCGGCTGGCGCGTCCTTGTGTTTCCCCGTGGCGTCTTTGTGTGTTTTGTTCTTTTTTCCGGTGTTCTGCGGGGGGCGAGGTAGCTAGAGTTATATACTTGGATGCTTGGGCCTGTTTCTTTTTCGTGGGGGAAACCTTTCAAATTGGCAGTTTGTCGTTTTCCTGCTTGGCTTCCCTGGAAGTAAGCCACTTACACAGGGACTCCAAAAAAAACAATGTAGTAAGTTAGACCTGCGTACTAAGTTGCAATCGAATCCATCGCGAAAGACACACCTTTGGAACCATGGCTTCCCTTTGGCTCCCATCAAACGCCAGATCCAAAAGCGGGTTTACAAGAGAGACTGAAGAATTTGATCGGTCAGTATGGGGTTTTACATCCATTGCATCCGCAGTGTGGCTGTTCAAGCGTAAAATGTGCGAGCAGCGCACTTGGACGGTTTGATGTTTCCTTTTGGGCCCCAAACCGGTAACCCTTGAATCTATAGGTTATCAGCCGTAGGCCCCTAGCTCTAAGCAATGGACGGTTCCCTTGTGCCAGTTGATGGATCCAGCATGCCTGTGGATGCTGCCGGAGCTAGCTCCGGCAACGCCACCGGCGGCGGTGTGCGAATGTTCGCATCAAGCGCTAATGCGCAATACAACCGCACCCTGATGAATTCCCTTCAACTGTACAATACCGCAATCTTTGCTTTTGGGAATGATGCAGCCATTAGGTCTGAAGCCGAAGCCCTGCATCAAGCAGCTGTTACGCATTTGCAAGCGGAAAACCGTGAGGAGCTCCGTGCCGCACAGAATCAGCTGCATGCACACTACGCTGAATGTGTGCAAGCCCAGTCGCATAGGATTCGTGAATACGAACAGCGAGTGAGCGATGAGTTCATTCAAGAAGTGAACTTCGCTGAAGCTAGGATAAGCCAAGTGTGTGAGGAAAATGCCCAAGCATTGCATGAAGCGGAAATGGGACGCAAAACAACTGAGTTTAGGCAAGCCATCGAATCCACCCTGGCGGAAGCCCAGCAGCTCCTTCATGAGCAAGCTGCCAAGCACGCCGATGACACAGCACGTGTTGAGGCGACACACGCCAGAACGGTTGACATGATGGCCCACCAAAACGGGCTTCTGCAGGACGAGCTCGATGAGCTGAAGAAGTATCAGAAGCAACACGACCTCCGCGAGGATGGATCGAAGCCCAAAGGGGTAGGTGATACCCGAGAGGATTCACCAGAGTTGATGACCGATGACATGAAGTCGGCTCGGTCCCAAAGGTCAATGTTGGACCCGCTTACCCATCCGTTTCAATATGCAAAGGAAAAGTTGAGGTCGCTTGTTACCTATGACGGTTACGGGGATGAATATACCCCCAGCGTGATTCCAACTGCCGAATGCGAAGCACTGCCCGCAGATGCTCGCGATCCGCAAGGACCAGCTGAAAAGCCATCAGGTAGCAGCCGATCTCCGGTGAAAACTAGTGCACCGGTCCCACCCCTGCAATTCTCTCAGGGGCCAATGTCAACTGACCGCATGCAGGGTGGCAAGCCTCCTGGCGGTCCGCCACCTGATGATGATGGCGATGGCGATGGTGATGAAGACGGAGGTGATGGCCTCGGGCCTAACCTCGGCAATGAAGCATTCGCCAAGATGTTGATGAAACTAGTAAAAGGCCAAACGAACGATGAAAAGCCCAGAACCCGCGAAAGCGAGACGTTGCGATTCAAGGAGATGCCAACTCCTGAAACGTACCGTGAATGGAAAACATCGGTTCGTGAGGATGTCCGCGCCGCATCTGATCGTCCAGACGAGGCTTGGCCTTGGATCATGGAAGTCTGGTCCGATCGCGAGGACAAGAAGAAGCTGTTGGAGGAGCTCGGCGAACCGGGGAAATTCGTGACCCCAGACACGAAGATTCTCGCAGCGCTCACGCGTTCAGCGAAAGGCGATCTGGCTCAGCGAATCCTAACAGCAAAGGAAGAATGTGCCAAGGAGGGAAAGGCCATGAGAGGAAGGCAGGTCTTGTTTATGTTTGACCAATATTTCAAGACCAGTGAAGAAGCCGGAAACCTCTACTCCTTGGAGGACCTGTTGCGTGTCTCGCGACACGGCGAAGGAATCATTGATCTCAAGCGTTTCCTGAACGCTTGGGATTCCGTGATCGCCGGCATGAAAAGGCCGCCGGAAGAAAAGGTGTTGAAAGACATCTTGCTTCGCCAAGTGAGAAGCTGCCATCTGTTGCGGTATGACATTGACACATATGATCGTTGCCGTGATGATGATCCCAATAAATCGTACGATTTCCTAATGCGCTGCATGAGGGATCTAATCGAGAGGGATAGGCTTCGCGAGAACCGAGAGCGCGTGTCCAAGGTCAATGCCAGTAAAGCCCCGACGCCCAAGGCTGGTGCTGCCGCCCCTGAAAAGAGGGACCCCAAGAAAAAGAGCGCACCAAAGCCGAAGGACACCGAGGAGAAGTACTGCTTTGACTTCCAGAAGGGCTCGTGCACGAGGGGGGCAAACTGCCCTTACGCGCACCGCAAGGAGCCGCGAGGACGCTCAGCGACCCGTGGCAGGCCAAGTTCCCCCAAAGGCGGTAAAGGAGAGAAAGCACCGTGTTCTTTCTTTGCCCAAGGGAAGTGCACTAGAGGTGACAAATGCAAGTTTAGCCATGCCTCCACGGGCGGCAAATCTGCCGCCGCGGCATCGAGCAGCGAGGCCAATGCAAATCCTGCGGCTAAGAAGCGTGCGAATTCACCTAAGCCTAAGCCCAAGGCCAAAGCCGCTGCAGTCTGCACCAGGTACGCCATGTTCGCAAAGCCGATCGATCCAATCGGAGTGTCATTCGACACCAATGCTCACGTGCATGAGATCCCCGCCGAAGGCGATGGTTTTAAGCTTGAGTATGAGGAACGGCAGTACAATAGGATGTTTCCAAGTGCTAAGGACTGCCCCAGGCCGACCAAAGGGACTAACAAGGCAGCGCGCAAGGCCGCGAACCAGTTGAATGCCGTAGTCAAAGCCATGGAGAATGGAGCCCAGCCCGCTTGTGGTTTCATGTGCGATGTGGAATCCGATTCCATCTCAAGCCTATCGTGTGATGAGTGCCTGAGAGTTGCCATGCCGCCTCACGATGTTCGCAAGGATGTCGAAGCGCCAAGGGCAGCCACCCCTGCACCAAAGGGAAAGGACGTGTGGCTCATTGATTCCGGTAGTGAGCAGGACCTCATCAGCAAAGCTGCACTGAGGAATGCGTCCAAGGCAATCCGAAAACAGGCCCCGCAGCCTATTCGCCTTGTGACTGCAAACGGAAACATCACTGCTTCCGAAATCGCCGACATCAATGTCGATGCATTGTGTGAGCCTGCTCAGCCTTACATCCTCGAGAGTTCTCCCGCAGTGCTGTCGCTGGGTGTGAAGTGTCTGGATCAAGGATATTCCTTTCATTGGGAATCCGGGAAGGCGCCAACCATGGTTCGCCCTGATGGTGCTCTGATCCAGCTCAAGGTTGACGGTCATGTGCCATACATGGACTCTAGTTGTGAAGCTGAGCCATCGTTGAGTGCAGTAGCAGCATCCAAGCCAGCGCCTGCGCCGGTTCATGACGAAGGCATCGACGAAGGTGATGATCCCGACGACGAAGTTGAGCGGTTTGTGAGATCCCGCAAAGAGGAAGATCTGGTTGCCGAAGCGAGTACCAAAGAGCACTTGTTTGCACACTATCCGAAGAATCCCTTTTGCCGCACTTGCCAACGTGCCAAGATGCTTGCCCCATATGCGAGATCGAAAGGCGGGCAGGGAAGGCTCGAAACGAAAGCGTTTGGAGATCACATCATTGCTGATCATGTGATCCTCAAGACCAACATCGAGCAAGGTATCAAAGGTGAATGGTGTGCTCTTGTGATCAAGGACGTGCATACGCAGTTCAGGTACGTTTACCCATCGACCAGCAAAAGCACGGAGCAATCCGTTGCAGGGATCCAGCATTTCATTTCCGGTAGGGATGAGGTTGAAGTTCTCTACACCGATAACTCCCGGGAATTGAAAGCCGCAATAGAGCAGTTGGGGTACCGTCATCAGACCTCCATTGAATATGTTGATTCTTCCAAATCTTTCGTGGAAAGGGAAATCAGACATCTGTTGGAGGGAGCACGTGCGAACCTTGTTCAGTCAGGGTTCCCACTGTCGATGTGGCCATTTGCTATCCAGCACAATGCAGTTGCGACCAACATCCTGCCACAGTTGAATGGAAACGATTCGCCATGGTACCTCAAACAAGACCTTTGATGAAGCTGAGATACCTCTACTGGGAACAACCCTGCACGAGCTGACAATCAGGCAGGCAAGACTTCGCCAACATCAAATGAAGGCGTGTTTCTCGGGTACCACATACAGCCTGGGTTCGCATGGAAAGGCGAGTTCCTTGTTGCAAAACTAGAAGGGCTCGATTACCATATCGAACATGCGTCCCTCACGGTACAGCGAACAAAGCGCATTGAGCTTCCGACTGATGAGTTCATCTTCCCGATGAGGTTGTTGAAAGACCCTGCATCTCATCCACCTGTTGCCAGTGCTAGGACACGAGATGATCCTGTGCCGTTGGAGCGTGGGCAAGCCCACATCGAGGAACCCGCCGCATCGGAGAAATCCGAAGCGAAGACCAAGCCTGTCGTGCCCGACAAAGGCGGTGCATTCGACCCGAGCATAATGCCTGATGGGTCACCAGTACCTGATGGCTATGTGTGGGATGGGGTTCGGCTCGTCCGTAGGAAGGCCGGATCCAAAAGGCCTCCCGATATCCCGTCTGACATGTGGGTCATGCTCGGCAGCCAGGACCGAAAGGCCCTAACCCAGCAGTATGAAGATCAGCTCCGTGCAGATGCCAAGAAGGCAGTGCTTGAGACAGCAGTCTCTTCGGAGGCCAGATCCGAGCACCCCGAAGCCGCATCGAGTGCAAAGCCGACCAGCGCCGCCCGCGAGGGCGAGCC